CTATCTTTGCTTCCATTGGAAAAATAACTTCTAAAACAACATCAGCTTACACTGTTATATATGGAAAAAAAATGTGCTTTCTAATATTTTATTTATATAGACAGAGCAAAATATATCAATACAATAGTGTGGGGGGAGCACCAAAAAAATAGAAACAAAAATATAACTTAAATATAGGAAAAAATGAGAAATAGAAAAAAAAAGGCAAAATAAAACAATCAAGCAAAAAATAGGAAACAAGAAATCAAGAAAATACAGAATAAAACTCAAAATGCAACATATAAAGCGAGTAGCGAATTCAAATGTACTTACACTTAGCGGCATTTTTAAAAAAGGATTTAAAATATTTTCGTCACACGTTTGCCAGATTACAAAATATGAAAATAGAAGCGTTGATGGAGGATGATGAAATTAATTTATGGCGGGTTCTTACTGAAGTACAGATGCACGTTTGATTTGTTAGTTACCTTTGATTGGCCCGAATCTGGATGTGAACAAGGTAAAAATATTATACTGGATAATTCAAAGCGGGAGATTTTCGTGCTTTTCTTCTTCGTGTACCGTAAATGCGGATTAGTTCCATCAAAAAGTCCTCTATGCAAGCGAATTTCTCCCAATACTTGATCATGGAGTTCCCTTGTCTTCTGGATTGGGTTCAAAATTACAAGGTTACGGAGTTAAACATTAGTAGTCGGTTGTACCACGACTGTTATAAAATAAGATTAATGAGGCTGGAGCCGTGGTGGTTCAGGAGATAGAGCTCTCACCTTCCAATGAGGTGAACGGGTTGAATCCCAGCGATAGCTGGTTAATACGAATTCCGCACCCGTCTCGCACGGACCACAGTGCTGTCGTAAGTATCCTCAGTGGTAGACGGATCATGGGTTAGAGCCCCCTTGCCGTCGGGCTAACCGTGGGAGATTTTCATGGTTTTCCTTGCCATGTAACGCAAATGCTGGTTAGTTCCATCAAAAAGTCCTTAACGAAGGCAAAATTTCTCTTCCAATACTTGATCCAGGAGTTCCATTGTCTTCTGGGTAGGGTTCCAAATTACAAAGCTATAGAGTTCAACATTAGTAGTCGTAAGCCCATAATTGACTGTTCAACGACGGTTATAGAATTAATAAGGCTGAATTTTTATTATCAAATTTAATATTAATGAGGTTGAAATTTAATTATATTTTTTTTTATATTGAACATTTTAGAGAAATTTTTACATTTAATGAATTAATTAGATAATAATATAAATGTTAATAATAAATGTTGATTTTAAATATCAAATTAATAAATAAATTTAGAAATTGGCTTTACGCTTTATAAAAAAAAATCCTACTTGAATACTAGAAGATATTTAGCCACGAATTTACCTACATTGGATTAACACAAGGTAAAAATATAAATTTAGTTAACAAGGAAATTTTTAATTATAACATGTAATGAACTCCACGATTTTAGAATTTAATTACGTCAGTTAGATATTCATTGTTTTCCATTACATTTTGGAAGAATTAATCTTTTTGTTTTTTCGATAAATAAACTATTTTACAACATATAAAATATTGACTCTAATTTATTTGACTCCAATTTATTGACTCTAATTGTAAAATATTGACTCTAAACTGGAATCGAAACCCCGGACTCTCGGGTCCAACAATTCGCTACTTCTTATCACGTATAACACTAATGGCCACGTCACACACGGCTTTGCAACTTACATGAAGCTTTATGTGCTTTCCTGCGCTTTTTTTAATTGAACCATATTTTGTCCAAACCTGGGGCCCCTAATTTGTCTAAAATTATTTCCTTTGGTACGATTGTATAGTATATTAAATTATAATATCTGCTCTAATTTGGAAATTATAAGTTAACATGAGGTGGGGGGTATGGGGTCATTTATATGCATACTATACGAGCAAAAATTTTCTTATTTTTTAAGCAATTGTTTGCTTTTGTAAAAAAGAAAAATAATAATTTAAGGGGAAAAAAAACTTTATTAATGTTACAATATTGGAAAAAAAATAAAAATTATGAAATGAAAATTTTAAAATTTTGAACCTTAACGGAGTTCGAACCTCCGACCCAAGAGTGCAGCAATTCGTTACTTTCTATTAAGTAACACTAATAGGCACGCCACACATGGCTTTGCCACTTATATTAAGCTTTAAGGGCTTTCCCGCTCTTTTTCAATGAAACCATATTTTGTCCCTTCCTGGGGCCCCTAATTAGTCTATAATTATGTCCTTTGCTACGATTGATTAGTATACTAAAATATAATATATGGTCTAATTTGAAAATTACAGGTTAATATTAAGGGGAGATATGGGGTCATTTATATGCATAGCAAATGAGCAAAAATTTCTCCATTTTTAAGCTGTTATTCGCTCTTATGAAAAAGAAAAATAATAATTTAAGGTAATTAACGTAAAGAAAAATATTAATTTAATTTAATATTATATATGGGGTCATTTACATGCATAGCAAATGAGCAAAACTTTTTCCATTTTTAAGCTATTATTCACTCTTATAATAAAGAAAAATAATAATATAATTTCTAAACTATTTACCCGTAACGGTGTTCGAACCCCGGACTTTCGTGTCCAGCAATGTGCTGCCTCCTATCCCGCAACACTAATGGCCACGCCGCACACGGTTTTTTCCGCTTATATTAAGCTTTAAAAAGTACATTTAATAAAAATAAAATATTTAATTATTTTACAATAATGTTACGTAAATAAAATGCGAGTGCGAATAATAGCTTAAAATGGTGAAATTGTTGCTCATATACTGCACACATAAATGGCCCCATACACCCCCTTAATACAAACCTATAATATTCAAACTCTGTCTGATACTATATTATTATGTACTATACTACCATACGAATTAATTATACAAAAATTAGAGAGCCCACAACGTGGCACAATTACAAATTAGAGGTCATGACCCTATGTGGTTCATTGTTTACGTACTGCATAGATACATATATAAGGTCCCATAACTCCCTTTAATATTAATGTATAATATTCAAACTCGGTCAGTTATCATATTATAATATACTTATTTACCATACCGAGGGAAATAATTATATAGTAAAATTTAGGGGCCCTTAATGTAGCACAATTCGCTTCCATAGAAACAACGTGGTAAATAAAAGCTTTTTATAAGCCAGACAGCCAGGTATGTTGTGGCTGTTATGGCTACGCGAAATTAAGCGAGAAATTGCTTGTCCTGAGGATCCGGGGTTCAAACCCCGTGATGGTCAATACTTAAAAATTATATTTAATAAAATAAATGTTTTGTTTTGTATTTTACCATTTAAATTTATTATTTTTCTCGTTTCTAAGGGCGAATAATAACTTAAAAATGGAGAAATTGGTGCTCGTATACTGTACATATAAATGGCCACATTTCTCCCCTTAATATTGACCAATAATTTTCAAACTCAATAATTTTCAACAGATATTATTATAGTATACTATACTACGGTACCAAAGGAATAATAAAAGACAAATTAAGGGGCCCACGATGTTTTTACAATAGGGTTCCATTGAAAAAGAGAGGGAAAGTGCTTAAAGCTTGTTTTAAATTCGGGCAACCAGGCGTGGTGTTGCCGTTAGGGTTAAATATTAGGATTCAACAATTTGCTGGTTCCGAGAATACGGAGTTCTGACCCCGTTAATGTCATTATTTTAAAATCGTATTTCATAAAGACAATTTTTTTTTAAATTTATTTTACAATATTGTAACGTAAATAAAATATTTCCTTTTCTCAAAAATATTATTTCTCCTTTAGTGCGAATGATAGCTTATAAATGGAGAAATTGTTGCTCATATACTGTACATATAAATGGCCATATAGCTTCCGTTAATATTAATCTATAATTTTCAAAATCAACCAGATATTATATTATAATATCTATTATATTATAATATCTAACAAAGTAAATAATTTAAGACAAAATAATGGGGCCACAATGTGGCATAAGATGGTTCCAAAGAAAAAATGCGGGTAAGCACTTAAAGCTTGTTATAATTCAGGTTACCATACCAAAAGAATTAATTATACATAAATTATTTTGCCCACAATGTGGCACAGTCACAAACTAGGAAGCGTGACCCAATACGGAACCAGGCGTGGCGGGATCGTTAAGGTTAAGTGATAGGAAACTAGAAATTGCTAGCTCTGAGTGTCCGGGTCCCCTAGGTTCGGGGGTTCGAACTCCGGTAATGGTGAATATTTTAAAATTATATTTCAATAAAATATTCCTTTTGTTTAAATTATTATTTTTCTTTTTTTTAAAATTGCGATTAATAGTTTACAAATGAAGAAATTGTTGCTCAAATACTGTACATATAAATGACCCCTTAGCTATTAAGAGCAGATAAGGAGTCATTTATATGTACAGTTATACAGTATATAAGCAACAATTTCTTATTTTAAGGCTTTTTAATGCACTTATAAGAGGTAAAAATAATCATTTAAAGAAAAGGAATATTTTATTTGCGTTAAAATATTGTAAAACAAATTTAAAAAAACCCTATTTTTTTAAGTACTGACTATAACCAAGGTTCGTACCCTGGACCCCCCGAACTATTTCCAATTATATTCAACACAATATTTCCAATTCAGAACAAAGACGTTCGAATTTCGAGCGCCATATCTCCTTGTTTTTTAAATCCAGCAATTGTATTTAAAGTTACCAATGTCAATTTCAAAAAGGGAAAATTTCAACTTGGTTATCGTAGCATTAAGAAGATTTTTGACAAATGCTAAAGTTGCTCTGCTGTTTTCAAGTTTTTTTAAAATTAAAATATTATTGTGCCTTCCGTGGATATTTGTGCCAGAGCCGCACTTAAGGAGCCAAAGAGCCACATGCGACTCTGGAGCCGCACTTTGTCGACCACTGTCATAGGGTAAATAAATGGTTTATATAAATAGTTTATTTGTTAGATAAAGTGAATTAGTTTATATACATAAAAATAAAATAACTTCAAAGAAATAAAAAAAAACAATCTTTATTTACATTTCTTTAATTAATAATAAAAGCCTATTTAAGTAGATTTTTCATTTATACATGATTTCCAATGCAATATATTACATTTGAAACATGAAATCCATTTACACAAAAATTACATATCACAATAGAGTCCATCTAAGGCTTTTACACATAGTAAATCAAGAAACTCAATTGCTGAAGAGTATAGAAATGACAAAACATAAGTTAAAACAACCTAACAACATTAGTTCTGTAATTGTAGAAAAATAAGTAAAAATAAATGGCACCAAATTATTGTGAAGAAATTTAGAAAATAATTACATCACTTAATCAGGAAATAAAAACACTTATTACCAAGGCAGATCAGTAATTTAATTGCTGTATTTTATTGCTTTCCCTAAACCCTAAATGGGATTGTCACAAAACAGAAGATATGAATGCAGACTAATAACAATCAGGAAGAACAGCCAAAAGTAAAAATTAAAGACATTTCTTAAATTTATCTCTTTATTCAGAAGTAAATATAAGTCAACTTAAATACGCTGTTTTGAACTAATCACATTATTTATAGTTTATACCTTAAGTTTAAAACAAATGCTTTGAGATTGTTGTGTTACTCATTTTTGTTTTGATAACCTTCCTGGAAAATATCCTTATAAAACTATATAAAGAGTATATAGTTTCTATGAAATAAACTAATGGTTTTTGTGTCAGAATGTTTTCAATAATATGAACGAAAAACTGAATTTAAATTGCTTTACTTCTATATTCATATGATAACATTACAAGTTATTAAACTAACTTAAATCTTCAATTGTTTAGTTGGATTTTAATTTTCTCCTGTAATGCAAATTGTTACTTAATTTGCCATTTTTAAAAAAAAATTATGAAAAGTCAAATTACGAAGATTCTATGCATTAATCCTATAAGATATTCAAAATATTTTAAAAGCATTATCATTTTTTAACAATGAACAAGTTAAGCAAGACAACTATTAATCAGCAAATATCAATCAGCAAAATATCAATCAAGCCCAAAGGAAATTTGAATGTCTCGAGTCAAGGGTGATTGCGACACAAAGTGAAAAACTGAAAATTTTACATGCAAAAAAAAACGATATCAAGATAATTTATATACCATACAAGTTTCATATTTAACATAACTTTTTGAGCTAATATTTATAATTATCTAAAAAAATTGACTTCTTACAAGAATCGCGATATCAGAATTTAAAATCGTGTGAATATGAATCGAGATATTAGACTGAAAAACACGGATATACAAATTGCGATATTGGATTTTCAAATCACATATAAATATGAAAATCAATGTTTAATATTACAACCGCGTGAACATGAAGCGCAATATTCGATTTTAAAAAAGCGTGAATACAAACGGCAACATTATACTTTAAAAATGCGTGAATACAAATCACAACATTTGATTTTAAACTCGCGTGAACATTAAGTCACGATAATGAATGTTTTAAAAACGTGCAAATACAAATCATTCTATGGGATTTTTAAATCGAGAGAATATGAATCGCGGTGAATGATTTTTAAATTGAGCTTATACGAATCGCAACATAGAACTGTTTAATCAGGTAAATATGAAAATTTCTATTTGATATTAAAATCAAGTGAGTACAAATCATAATATTAGGGTTCCGGAATAGTTCCAAATATTCAAAATGGCGAAAATTTGTCAAACCAAAAAAATTAAATTGCCGAAAGAATCACATTTATATAAACGTCTTGTTAACAGGATTTAGCATAAATTTCAAAATTTTATCGGATTTTAAGTCTTTGAATCGCGGAAGTCCGTAAACCAATGATCTCGAGAATCAATGTGATTTTTGCAGAAAAATCTCATGCCTTTAGTTTTTAGATCCACAAGAATGATACAAAAACTAGGAATACAATCACCCCAGTAGAGTAATTTAAAATATACTCTTATCAACAGGTAAATGAATAAAATGCAGCAAAATATAAAAACAAATTTAAATTATTAGATAAACCAGATCTTCCTTCCTTATAAATAAATAAAATTCAAAGATTTATTGTTAAAAATTCAAAGGTTGAACTCAAACAGATCTCCTTAGATAAAACTAAACCAAAATCAAAAACTTAACAAGTATGTACAAATATATACATATGAATAAAGCACTCTTCAACAATTAAGTTTCTGCTCATAATCCATGCATTCTGAATTAGATAAATTTTTTTCTGAATAATTTCTTTAATAAAACACAGTAACGACAAATTTTTGACAAGATTGCTGCATTTAATATTGGGAAAAAAAAAGAAAGGTAAAAGAATTGAACATATTGAATACATATGTAATTCAATATATGAGTATGCAATTGGAAATATTTAATTTATAAATATTAATTGAATATACGAATACTCAATTGAATATATATAATATTCAATTGGGTATACAATGAGCCACTTTACAACACAGTTTTAAGAAGATTTATTTCTAGAAGAAGCTATTTTTGGGTATGGTAATAAATTCTTTTGAACAGAATCTACAGTAGCACATAAAGTATTTTTTAATTGTATGCCCAACTTTAAATATAAAGCTTAATATATTAACTATTAAAATTTTAAAATAAACAAAATAGTTGTGACAATGTAGTTGAATTGTAAAAAAGAAAAATTCATGTGTTTTAGAAGATGAAAAACATAAATGTTAAACATGCATATTAACCTGATAAATAAGTGAATTGTTGTAATATGAGTGGGGGAAAAAACAAACAGAATGCCCTGTTTATGCTTTGAATTTTTAAATACCAAATTTTACATCAAATAGCAATGTCTGCATCAACATTAATTTATACAAACAAATTAAGTTGGAAAAAAAATTTAAAAAATGGAGAAAAAAAGAAGAATAAATTGATCTTAGTTCTTATTTGCGTATTAAAAACAACACCTAATTTAAAAAATAAAATTTTTAACTCTAACTTCCAGGCTAAAAGAAAAAGAAAACAAAAAGGGCCAAGCTGATTAAATTGTTATAATCTTGGCATGCTTACCAGAATATTATATTCTCAGTATACTCACAAGAGGGTTTTATGTTGCCTAAATCATTTTATGATTACCTAGTACAAGCAGCAGCTGTGAATTTTGCTAACTATTTCAGGGAATACATGTAAGCAAAATTAACTATCAAGTTTAACACAAACATGGATAAATGATACCCATGCAAATTAATTTTTGATTTGAATGAAGCAATATGGTATTCAAAGTGTAAAACATTGTTAATTTAATTACAAAAACAAAAAAAGAATGATATAACGGAAAAATCTCAGTTCTAACAATATACCCGTATAAAAAAAACATTTATACCATAAAATATAAACATGAACTAATTTCGAAATTTCACAGAAAACTTAAAAACCATTCTTTTTAAAACTATTCAAACAGTAAAAAAAAAATTTCCTGAAAATAATATGCAGGGTGATGGAAACCTTTGTTTGTAATTGCAAATGGTTTTTACACATCTTATTAAAATTTATTATTTATTTTAACGCTAAATAAACAAAAGAACTATTACTAAATACAAACACCATACATATGTAATTATTGATTCTCAGTATACTTCAACAATATGAAGGACGTTTGTTAAATGGAAAAAAAGTTACAGTACATAAAAAGTTGAAGAAATAAACACATTTTACAATAAATAAAAACCGCAAAATTGCAAATAAAAAGAAATTTTATGAAAAAAATTACTGGAGTACGCTGCTTCGCCCGATTATTCCTCCGTATTCGCTCCTTCTAATACACCCCCTGGCATTAACCAAGACATCTTTATTAGGTAAAAATTAGAAGGGGAAAAAATGACTGATGAAATAAACACTCTATTAAAACCTCAACTTATCTTAACAGGTAAAAAAAAAAACTTAAATGCAGCACTGTCTGGATATTAAATTACTTTTGCACTCGCCACACATAAACATTCTTCTACTATATATATGTAATTAACCTGGAGTATGAGCCATGATTTACAGTATGAGCAAATGTATTCAGAAAAATTCTGGGTTATCAAAGTCTGTGGGCAAAACTCAGCTCTCGATTCCTTTGGTGAGCGAAGCTTCTAATGTGATGGTAAATTCGGACAGGGATTCCAAGATTTGTACTAAAAAGGTGACAAGATTTGGATCACGAAGAAATGACTGTTCTTCATACATGCTGGCAGTGACAGGTGTTGATGCTATGTGAAGAAGCATGCGATGTAAAAGATGGTCCCTGGAAGCAAAATTAATAAAAAATAATAACTACTTTCTATAGAGTTCTGATAAAAGTCATTTCAACTAACTACAGTCAGAGTTCTGTTTTACAATTATTTCTTAAGAAACAAAAATATTTTGAAATTTTCTTCGTAAAATAACTTTGAAATAGCTAAGTGAATTCTCTATCGGCCAAAATTTTTCTTGTGATCCACTACATTTTTGGTCATACATATATATTAGCATCAGTCCAAATTATCTGAACCTAACCTTACTAAATGGCAATCAAGAATTTAACTTTGCAATTTTAACTTAACATTCAAATTGTTTTAAAATTAAAAATAATAAATAGTGTACCTGTAAATTTTGCTAGTGTGGGAATGCTTTTCGGTCCTCTGTGACCTATCTACTCATAACAGGGTATACCTGCATTGGGTACCTGGACATATGGGTATTCTCGGAAATGAGCTAGCTGATAAAGCAGCATGGGCTGGTACTAGTGCAATTATCTGGGGCCCTGAACCTACATTGGGAATTTCTCCCACCTCCTTCAGGGCATCTATATTCAAGCTCTATGGCAAAATTGCCCATGAGCAATGGCGCATCGCTGGCGGTCAGAGACAAGCTAAGGAGCTGAATCGTGACTGTCCTAGTGTACGTCAAAAAGAGATGTTAAAGCTTAATCGAAACAGTTTGAGGAAGATCATTGGTCTTCTTACTGGACACTGCATCCTCAAGAGACACCTATACATAATGGGAATTGAATCTAATTCTCTTTGTTGAGGTTGTCATCTTGAAGAAGAGACATCAGAACATATACTTTGTGATTGTGAGGTCTATTCTGCTCAAAGATTTAAGCATTAGGGGCAGCATTGCATTAAAACCTGGACGTGTTTGCTGAATTTTATTTCAGCTATAGCGTTTTCACGCTGATCATGATTTAGGGTTTGGGTACAATAGACCTCTGGTCGATGTGCCCTGCTCTCTGGAGCTGCCCAATTTCTAAGTCTAAGTACCTGTAAATTATTTATCTCGCCCTCTCTCATTTAACTGTGTTTTTTTTTCTATCTATTCTGTTTCACTTTTTTTTTAAATTTAATATTCAGTTCAGATTTAAAACCAAGAATCCTCTCATTGGTCAGCAATAGGGACGCTTGAGGGAGGGAAGAGTAAGGGATAATTTGGCAGCAGTTTTCACCAAGGAAATGTTAAAGCTCGCTTGAAATAGAGGCTTTTATTTATTTATTGTTAAAATTCTGAACCAATACTATTAGCTATTTTTTTTATTGCAAATTTCCTTACACAAATATGGAGTGAAAAATTAATTATGTAATCTTAGAAGGGTGTGTGTCTCATAATCTATAAAATGTGCCCCCCTGTGGTACCTGTTTTCTTCCTTTTTCTCAAAACATTTCTGAACATATGAAACTTATTCTTTATTTTAACAGATTTAATGGTAATAGTAAAATTCATTAAAACATGATATAATGTCAGTAAAATATGTCAGTAAATGTAATGGCGATATATTGTCAGTAAATTTCATTAAGCAACAATATCAGTAAAATTCATCAATTGACAATAATGTCAATTGAAATTCATTAACTGACAATAATGTCAGTAAAATTCATTAATAGACAATGTCAGTAAAATACATTAATTGATAATAATATCAGTAAAATTCATAAACTGACAACAATGTCAGTAAAATTCATTAATTGACAATAATGCCAGTAAAATACATTGACAATGTCAGTAAAATTCATGAATTGACAATACAGTGCATCCCCAGAAAATATTTCTTTTTTCATTTCTATCTTCATTGTAATGATGATTAAGATGTATAAAATAAATAGATATTAATTTACGATATAAAACTGCAACTAATTACTTTTTTAATTACGTCTAGTGCTTATGAATTTAAAATCTGTTTAATTTTTTTTTTGTATTAGAAAATCAATGAGAAAAGTCTAGTATCTACAATACAATTTCTATACTTTTGTACACATGGTGATGCAGCATTTACTAAAATGCTTATGAGTTGAACACAATTTGAATTATAAATTATAAGAAACAATAAAACGCACCTGGCAGCAAAGCATATGAACAATTGGAATTTTCCATCTTTTCCAACTGAAGATGATGCATTGTCAATTTTTTCAACCAAGTTGCAGTATGAGCGCATAACCATCACATGTTCTAACGTTTGTCTTGGAGTGGAATTGCTTTCATCTTCCTGCAAAATATCTTCAAAATAGCCTCCAACTTTGACTGAAAATAGAACGGCACAAAAAAAATTTTTTTTAATGAATCACAGGCAGCTTATTTAATTTAGAACTCAGGTATTTTTATGATAATAACACACTGTTCAGTGATTATAAAGGAAAAGTTCTATGAGAGCACATTTTCAATATCATCTCAGAGTAAATTGTAACAATTTGTTTCACCAATAGAGGTTTTTACTCACTATTTGGCGATCATAAAACAACATTTCTATGAGAGTATATATTTCCAATATTACTACTGAGTAACAATACACGATTTGTTTCTCCAAAAATGGTTTCTACTCTACATAAGTGTTTGAGTGATTTAACCATTAATATTATCTAACCACCTATGTTATTTAACTATCTATGTTACATAATTATGGAATATCTACATAAAGAAAAAAAATAGAACTGTAAGATCAATATAAACAATATTACAGAAGGAAATATGTCAGCTGTAATAAGATTGCAGATTAAACTATGACATAATCTAATTGTTGTCATTAATAAATGAATATTATTTATTTTAATTATTTTAAAATAAAATTACTTTTTAACACAGATAATGTAATTTGATAGCACAAAAAAATTGTGCAGAAAATCTAGGAAAATGATAATAAAAAAAATATTATTGTTATTTTTTAATTTTAAGCAATCTGGCCTCAAATTAAAATTTGCAGAAGATCAGATTGCAAGCTTTCAACAATCCATGATATTAAACAACAGCAATATTCCAGAAATATGTTAAAAGATAAGAAATAAGATTTCTTTGCAATCTACATCTAGAAGAAGAAAAAAAAGAGTTAAATTAAAATCTTACCAAAGAAGTCTCACAGATAAACGAGCCTAAAAACGCATTTTGCTTTAAATCCTTAAGAATTTTGGGCACATGCTGCTTTAGCACTCTCCCAAATTTTATTTCGTTTTTATGCTGCAGATTTTCTATTAGGGAATATGATTGAAAAAATTCTAATGCAACTACGAAGTTTTTAAAATTAGTTTTTCAATGTGAGAGCTACCATACAAAAAAGATATTTGTTCATAAAATAAATAAATAAAATAAAAGAGTTAAATTAAAATCTTACCAAAGAAGTCCCACAGATACATGTGCCTAAAAAAGCGCTTTGCTTTAAATCCATAGTTGAAAACTTGTTCAAGGCAGTATACAAGACCAAGTTCACCACACAATAATATGGTTAGGCTTCCTCTCTGTTAAAATAACAAATTAAGTTAAAACTCCTTATTAAATAAAATAACTAAAAAAAAGATTGAAAACATTGAATAACAGAATTATCAGAAACCCTCAGAAAAATTTCCTGTTTTTTTTTTTTTTTTTTTTTTTTTTCAGAATGATTTTATAGAATTTCTTTAATTTTTGAAGCCATTGGTATGAATTTCATTACTAATATTATGTCTTATTCTTATAGTTAAAATATATTGCAAAATCCTTACTCTTGCCTTAAAAGTTAAAAATAATTTTTTTAAAAAACAATTATTACAAGGACAATTTTCATAAAATAAAAAAAAATTTAACTTTTAGATACTTCACAAACTCTATTCCATCACTCTTTAAGTATTTTAATTAAATTCCATGACATTTCTCTGATTTTCACAAATTGATGAAATTCCCTGATTTTATCCTGTTTCTTGGCCCTGAATAGATAAAATTACAAAGACATCAAACTGATATTAAATAACTGAAAGAAAGAGATTTATGCAGAACTTGATTGATTGTTATTATCTAAATTTTTCATTGCAAGATCACTTATCTGATTGCAAAAAACAAAACTCATTAAAAATAATAATAATAAAAAAAATTATGATATTATTTTATACAGTATTACACCTTAATAAAAATATTGAAACCATACAAACCTCTTTTTCAGATTTATAGTAGTATTTAACAATGTTATTTACTGCATCTCCCAATAGTTGCTGTATTTCTGAAATGGTGAGCTCTAAAAATAAACAGATTGCATTAAAATCTCAATAAAAAACTGAAGTTATTCATTAATTAATTTAAATAAAAATTATGTAAGCTTTTACAATACATACCGTAAAATTCACATATTTTGGCATTCACATATTTTTTATACATACACACAGGGAAGGGATTCACATATTTTTGTTAACTCCGGAATTACATGAAAATTTACAAATAATGATCCAACTTTAGACTACATTAAAGTCTGTTATTTTCTCTCAAAAAGGCCAACATTAAATGATTAAACATGTTCACAAATTAAATTTCTTTCAATTATACATTATTTTGAAATAAAAAGTAATATTAAGTTAGAGAAAAAATATATGAGCAAATTTTATTATAAAGAAGAAGAAAAAAACTTAGTTAATTTGATTAGTAAATGAAAAGTTCTGTATAAGTTTTTAAATTATTATTATACTGAAATTTTTTTACAAACATATATACACACACACACGATGAAACCTCATGTTATGGTAACAAACGCCTCCAAATTATGGATATTCGTTTTTAATTCCCTGTAACTCTACTATGCGAAAACCATTATGTGACCTCTCCACAAAGTTGCCACTCTCGTAACTGTGCGCAAGCAGTCACTTACGCCGTAAAATATTCCTTTGAAACACTTCAAATCAGAAACCACTTTTTCAAAATAAGAAGAAAAACAATTATTTCAGTTTAAAAAAATGCATATTTTTACCATTTTTAAAAGCACGTAAATTTTTCCCTTATTCATAACTAAAAAAAATTTTTAAACTACATTCCCTTATTCATATATAAAAAAATTTTTAAGCTAATTGTAAAGCCAAAAGAATAAATTATTCTCTTGTCATCTTTCCTTATCATTGCCAAGAAAAAAGAGAAAATAATACTGTTCACGTGAAACACTTCGAACTGAGCATCTTTCGGTCTTTTCATCTGGATGATCCAGTAGACCCCACACTTGAATAATGAGACCCCACTTACTCAGTCTTGAGACACCACAAGTTGAAATGACAAATCCGTTATCAAAAACTTCAAATTGGCTACTAATTTTAAAACACTTGATTACGAGCTTCGATTGGGCAAATAAAGAAATCCTAAACATTCATGTCCTACAAGCTTCTTTATGGATAAAAAAAAAAAACTTCAAAAAGAATACAACAGAAAATAATATTTTTGCATAAGTCAGAGATGACACAAAATTTAATGATCCTGTTTATGAATGAACAAATTTGATTCCCCTGACTGGAGAAAGTGTTATCAACGGTGATGATTCGTAAACATTGACGAGAATATTGAATGTCAAAAGAATGATTTAAATACAGAAATTTTTTTTTGTTTTTTTTTTGAAATGGTGATGAATAATGACGCCAAGAGTGAAAATGGAGAAACTGATATACAATTGATGCTTTCTGAAAACAAATCAAAATTGAAAACTATAAGTTAACTTGTATTGAAAAACTGAGATATTTTTTATCAATCCAAAAATTATAAAATTAGTGTAAGAATGTGAAATGATTAAAAAATTTACTATGAAGTTGTGATCAGTTGCAGTCACTTAAAACAAACCTCGATCACATCTTTCTTTTCACCGGGATAAATATAAAGCAAAGGCATGTATCTAATTTATTCCTCTACTCTTTGTTAGGTAAATATTATTATTTCCTAAAGTTTAAATAAATATCAGTGTAAATAATTATTATAGATTATTTAATTATTTCTTGATCACTGCAATTAATTAAATACAATTTATGGCATGTGCTTTTGTCATTAGTGTGCCCTTCCCCTAAATGGACAACTCCAGTAAATCAAATTTTTTTTGGTCCCAAGTGTCCCCTTAATCAAGGTTTTATTGTGTGTGTGTACTGTGCATATATATATATTGTCATGAATTTTTTACTATTAGTGGTGTTTTTATATATCTAAGTCAACTTATAAAATTGTATTGTTAAATAAAGTAATGAAGAGTATTGAAACATACTTGGTTCGCTTGGTCTTCTAGGAACACTCGGAGATCGACACCTTGGCGGGGTTCTACAAGCCTCCATTAGTTCTGAGAAAATAAATACAGATGCTATAAGTTCAGCAGTGATCTCTTAATATACACCAATAATATAAAAATATATAGTATACTCTCAATATTTCTAAGTTGAAAGGATGATAAATAAGTTTCGAGATTACTTGATAATCATTAAAAATTCTTCTTTTGTGTGTGTTTTTTTTAACTGAATAACACACGATTCTTTAAGCCAAGTTTAAATTTATTTCTTAATAACAATTATATATAATTTTAGTAGAAATAAAACAGTTTAGAGTATAATAGGTAAAAATTTAAATTTTTTTTTTCAATCAAAAAATTATCCCAATCTGGACCAATAATTTGGAAAAAATTTGGTCAGGTAAGTGTGTTAAGTCATGCACAACTATAAAAAATAACTTTAAAAAAAAACCATTTAGAATACAACTAAAATGCATAATAAAGTTCAAAGTAACTCAATAATAGCATGCTTAAAGCAATAATTGAACTATGTAACTTTATTTAAAATTGAATGTTAATTCATGATATTCAAATTATTGAATTATTTACGAAATTAATTTATGTATTCAACAGAAAATTTCAACAAAAAAAATTACATTGAAACTTTATCCAAGAATGAACAGAAATGCTTTTTCTGGCGTGAAAGTTGTGTACAATAAAGAGTCTGATAAAGTTTTTTATCCCTATTTAAAAACATGCAATCATGATTAATAGCAGATGTAAAGATTCAGAAATGATTTTTCTGGCGTGAAAGTTGTATACAATAACAAATCTGATTAAGTTCTCTAGCCCTACAAAAAATTTAGAAACATACAATTATGATCAATAGCAGATGTAAAGATTCAATTACACAACGAAATGATAAACTCATGATAATGATTATTATGATTCGAACATATATGAAAATTACCATCAGCATCATAATCCCTGGGGACCATTTCGCCGACAAGTAAACGTTCTGTACTTCCGTCATCAACACCTTTCCCTAGCCATCTACCACATGGAAACCTAAAACAAATCAATCGGAACTCTATAAAAATAAATTACCATTGTTTAGAATTACTTAGAATATATTAACTACCAAAGTATATGCACTTCTTTTTCTCCTATGCATTTTCTAACAGCTTTCAGCAGCAATTTAGTATAGTTAATACATAAACAAGATTTAATTGTTTAATATTATATAATATAATTTATATTTAATTATTGAATATTTAATTTCAATATCTGGGATTTTCTTGAAACACATAACAGTTATGTACTAAAGTGTATGTATTATTCTGACACATCTTCTGCTACGTTTACAACAAAAATTAGGTTTTGTTAACATCGAAATTTAAAAATGTTTAACACTATCAAAAATATATTACATGGTAATATTTTGAAGGAAAAGTAACAAGAAGTGTAACAACTCACATTTTAATTAAAATAAAAATATTTAAATCAACAAATTAAAATTTCTTCAGTGCTTATATATATTTTTTTTATCAATATAAGAACACTGGCAATCATTATTACAATTATACTTACAAATACCATTAAAACACAAAGAAGAAATTTGAAATGTAATCTCTAACATGCATTTCTGTGAACTGTAATATATTTTTATTGTGACATGTCAGAAGGAGCACAGAGGTTTTTAAATCATCACAGGGGGAAAAAAAGAGCAAAAAATATTGAAGAAAAAAAAAAGAGTGAAAATTATGAACTGCCCCCAAATTGAAATCCAAACATTAAAGAACAAAATTTGCAGCTGTGGGGAAAATCCTCTTCAAAAAAAACTTAAGAAGTTGGCAGCTTTCATACCAATTTTGAACATGAAAAACTCATCTCAGTTGCAGAGTAATAGGAAGAATCTAATAAATTTTACTGTGAACAAAAATATCATTTAATAAGTTTCCGTCGTTTTAACTGATAGGGGGCTTACATATTAAATAAATTATAGAACATCACAAATATGAGGTTTCATACTTATAAGTGTGGCCAGAAATCTCGTTTCGGACTAGCACATGTTCAACCATCCATTTAGGTGAAATACCAGTATTGTCATGGCCAATTCTTAAAGTTGTCAAAATTCCTAAATTTTTATGCTAAAGAGAAAAAGATAAAGAAAAACCAATTAATCTGGCTATAAATATTTACAGAAATAAGAAAAGTTATAAATTAGAAGTCAAGTTCTTAATTAAACATTTATAGTTAAAAAAAATGCAAAGTAATTTCTAAAAAGCATTGAAATAATCAGAAATCTAAATATACTTAAATTAAAATCAGAGTAATTACAAATCATATTTTTAGATAATGAATTTTTATTTTAAACAATAATTGTGCAAAATTAAAGGCATTAAGGGGAGAAAATTTAATCAGTCAGACTGCACAATACCACTGCAACCTCTCGTAGAAGAAATCAATTTTAAAAAAAGACAGTGTCTGTTACAATAAATAAAATATCACAAGAAAATGCCTGTAAAATACACCAAAATGACAGACAATATCAAGCCTCTTAGGCAACTTCAAGATAATCACAAACTATTTTAAGAAAAAAAAACATAGTTAATTTTAAACACACAATAAATTTATAATGCAATAAATAAATTTACAATATTTTCTATAATAAGGTATTTAAGTATATTTTCTATAATAAGGTAAGGCAGTATTTAACTTACACATCCAGTATATTTCAGAATTCAGAAAGTGCATGGTGCATTCCTGAATTTAAAAAAAATAAATAAAATGAAAATAAATAAATAAAAATTAAATTGTAAAGATGAAGAAAGGTTTTATTTCTTTTCAAAATTATCTCTGCTTCACTAGCCTATATTTGAGATATCTGCTAAGTATGACCTTGGGGGTCAAGTGACTGTTACTGTCTTATGGTGAAAAGAGGTGTAAAGTGACAAAAATAGAAAATGATTCTGTGAAAAGGGTGTGGTTAAAACAAAATTTATTTCAAGACTGATTCAGCAATAATTCTTTCCTCTAAGGAAAAGAAGAAGGTAAAGAAAAGGTTCTGTTTTTCATGCTTACTTCTTCATACGAAACAAATTTGGCACTTCCCTTTTTTAATAAAAACACAAGTTTTGGCAATGCCTAGTTTTTCTTACTTCTTTTCTAGTGAAAGACATTTAAAAAGAAAACAAAAGATCTACATGATTATTTTGAAATCATATGTTCCTCAAAATAGTATGCTCTAAAAAAATAAAAGAAAGAATACCATGACAAATAAGCTCAGAATACTTTATATCACAAATATCAAAACAACTACGAACCCTGCAAACTCTGAAAAGTTATACTGATAAGTAAGCCGACATATAACATTTTGAAGTCACTTTTAATAATTAACTTATAAATAGAAAATAAATTACTTGAAAAACTATTTCTAATGTTTGCCGTGGTAGAGGTATAAGCTTGGTCTCTCCTAAATTTCCAGCCATAATAATCCAGGCATTAGCAGATGTTGTGGACGCACTTAATTTGCGACTAGGAAAAACAACAACTCTATATGGTATACCTAGAAAAGAATTTCTCACCATTATTGAATATTATTGACTATTATTATTACTGAATATCAAATAATTATGCATATTTTTAATGTCAAGGTTTTTTTTTTTTTTTTTTTAAAAATAAAAAAATAAACTTTAAATTTTCTGGAATCTAATAAATTTAGAATTTGGATTTTTTTTTTAAATATACATACAAATGTTTAAAACTACTAAATAATAAATTGTTGTATACTGACTTGTATACTATAGGGTGCAACTTAGACTGATAGTTTTTTAAATAAAATTTTTAACAGAAAACAGAGCTGACAAGATTTAAACCACTTGATTTTTTTATAACATAAGTTAAAATAAAATTTTACATTTAAATTTCTTTTGGAGTTTAATTAAAGGGTTTTAATTAAACCAAGGGTTTTAATTTAAAAAAATCTGATAGTAGATTATGTCCCATCCACTGCTTTTTTGTTGTATTTAGAGATATGAAAATTTCTTTCTCAGTTTTTAACATACTCATGGCAGATAGTGCACAAATATTGCGATGCGATTTTCATTCACTGAAGATTTCGAAAAAATGAGATGTGATTTTTAGTTTTTTTTTTTTTAAATAATTTAAACGTTTGCTTCTTGCAGCTGTTGAAAAATTTAGAATCAAAAACAGGAGCTTTGGGATGAAATATCAATGCCTTATCATACGAATTTGCTGTTTAAAGATAATTTTTTTTGAAATGTCAACTACTCATCTACAACTAAGTTTTATAAATTGTCAGTCTAACTTAAGCATCTTTGTGCATAATTAAGAAATTAACACATCAAAAACAAAATAAAGAAGAATTTTATGTAAAAAATTTTAAAAAACGTTATAGAGGAACAAGTTTTGGGTTAAATAATTTTAATTAAAATATTTTTTAGTACTAAATATTGCTAACACTTAAACTATTCAAAAAAGTTTCATGAGCTTGCTATTTCTTTATAAAAAGTTTTAATCTTAAAGATTTTTTTTAAAAAATAAGACAGTTTTCTAGAAGAAATTTTAATTAAATATTACAAAATGACTAACTAAATAAAAGACAAACCTGTTTACACTATGCATAAAATTTTATAACAAGTATAATAATAATTTACCAATGTCTAGTTGCAACATAAATACAAGCACTATTTGCATTTACATAAATTATTAGAATAAAATAGTTTCTTAGAAGGGATTTTAATTAAATATTTGAATAAATGAGTATATAAATTAAAACACAAATATGTTCACAACATGCATAATACTTTACAATAACAACATAAATAATAATAAATTAAAACTAAGTTGCAACAGAAATATAAGCAACATTTACTATCTGTGTCCATATGGAGGACAAAATACTGTTCAAAGGCAAATAACTTACTTGTTGAAGTAAAAGTATTTGTGAAGCACAAATAGTCTACAGCATTTAATGTTAGTAAATGGTACAAGAATTGTTCTTTTTCATCATCAGATCGAAGGAAAGCATACCTTTTATAGGAACTCCTGAAACATATAGAATTTTTTTATCAGTATTTTCAGTAAATTGAGGGAGCATTAAAATATTGATCATTAGAAATTTACCATTTGTAATATAATGAAAGAGTTAGTACAGTATTTAGGTAAAAATTGGTGCAAACTATCAATACAATACACTTTCACAGCACGGGTTGATCCAGACTTTTTATGAAAAGGTCTTGTCATTTTGAAACTATGAAAACTGTATCAACAATTTTGTGAAAGTAGGGACCCGAAAACCTTGTGAAAATTTATGAAGAAAAACAAGAGTGGTCTGAAAAATCAGCCCATTCTCTGATTTCAAAATAAGCATAAAATGGAACTCTTTCTCCCAGTGACTAGTATTTGCAAATGTGTCAAAATAAGATGCTGTTTTTGTGAGGAAAAAAAATCATGACTTTCAAGGGGATAAACTTTTAAAACTTATGAATAAATATTGACTTTGGTGTTTTAAAGGAAGAATTTTGAGAAGGGTTTAAAGAGAGTGCACACTCCTCATGTGTTAAAGGAATCGAGGAAAAATTGTGGTTCTCACAATAGGAGTCGATCAGAAGAGTGACAATTTAGCCTTCTTGACGAAAGTATACGCCAAGGAGCTATGTGGTTTCCTACGTTGTGTTCACCACAATGTTCCCATTCTAGAGAGTTAAGTAAATGTTGAGTTAGTCAAGTTTTGTGGCTGCCAGTGCAGGTCAGTGACTTGACAATGGAGTTAAGTTGCTGTTGACTTGTGTTCATAGTCAGGTGAACTCCCTGTGGCAGAATCGTGGCAACACGGCGACATTGTCGCAGAACATTACAGAGTTCTTGTAGAAATATTTTTTATTTGGGAGGCAAAGAGGTTTGGGTTTTTTCATCTGCAGAATTTTTTGAAACATTTTTTCCCCCTTTCTGCAGAATTATATTCAAAAAATGCCTTTCTCGTATATCAGAGATGGAAAAAAACGCTCTTTATTCTTTTTTCTTCTTTCTTTTGAGAATAAAAAAATTCTGCAATGATTGGCGTTAGGTAGAATTTCAGATTGATATTAGAAAAAGTCATTTCCAAATAGCAAAAATTTAAAAAAGGTTAACTATACAAATATTTTTTAGAACAGAAGAATATCGCCAAAAATATTAGAATATGTATTCTTTTATACTTAGATTTAAAAAAAAAATTCTTACATTGATAATTAAAAATATATATATAATGTTCTATACATGAAGGCTTTTTTTCTAAACAGAAAGTGTTTCTGTTACCTTACATTAGTAACATATATAATTGCTACTATTAAAAATGTCCCTCAGAAAGGTATTAGTACTAGAGAGAATTGTTACAGAAAGTTTTAAAAAATTCTGCTGCAGGGGGTGAACTGCGGTTGAATTAGATAATTTAGTGGTGCCATTTGGCCTGGTAGGTGGGAAATACTATATTTTTCTGTGATGTCTGGATTTTTGTAGTGCTGCAATCTAAAAGTGCATGAGAAAGTTGAGTGTTCCAATAGTCCAGGATCACTAGTTGAGGTGGGCAGGAGTGAAAACTTTTCATATGTTGAAGGAATAGAGGAAATATTGTGGTGTTCACTTAGACCCATCTCAGCTAAAGCATATACCCAGTTTCAAGGTCCAAGTTAAGCATAATAAACTTTTAAGAAGCAATTCTATAATGAACATGTAATGTTGAAACATTCAAAGGGGAAATATTTCTTCTAGGAAAATATAAGTATCAAGACTGGATAGTACATCTGCATGCATTTAGTTCAGTATAAGACTTAACCATGTTTAGGAGATAGTATGAAATATAGCATGCCGGTTGACAGAGAAATATCGAATAAAGTTTAACCGGCAAACTACTGTTAGTATTTAAACACTCTAGATAGTATTTGCTTTGAAATATAAGACACTGTCAAATAAATTCAATAGTGATTATTTGCTTACCTTAATAAGTCTTGGTTTGAAAGCAATTTCTGCAAATGCTTATGCAGTAATTTCTTTTCAAGAGCGAGCCTAACCCAAGCTCTTGCATATCCTATGTCTGTTTTAATTTCGGACATGGCTTGGATGTTTCTGTATATAAAAGTTTCACAAAAATTATTAATATTTAAAAATTAAAACATTACTTTTTAATTAAGACATATTAATTCAATTACATAATAACACAACAAAATGAAATATAAGTTCCCAACTAAAGCATTAAAATCACCCCTCTTTGTAAATAGAATAGATGTCTTAAACTTATGCAATTTCTTTATTTTCACAATTTTCCCTCTCTCCCTTACCATGGTTTTGGCATATTTTGCTTTTTTCCATGACAGTATATTTCAGTAAGTAGCAGTTTTGTGTTTAAAATTATTTTCTTTTCAACATAAAATGTATCTATTTGCAAACAAAAGCTGTAAATGTTTTAAATTTAGCAACATCAAGAATTTTAAAAAAAAATTTCTTTAACTGAACCATAAAAAAGGGAAAAAATTATTTTTTGAAATTTAAGCAATTAAAAACTCAATGGGAGTAATGAGAGAAAAAAAATGCTGACTTTTTCTTTATTTCAGAAATAATGATAAAACAGTAGGATTTCTAGTTACGCTCATCTAAATTAAATTAATAATGAAAGCATGATTTAGATTTCATTGTAAAAAAAAAACGTCATATAAAGTCTAAAATAATTTGATTAATATGCATTTTATAAAAACATTTTTTCCCCACATCACCGAGGGGAGTAAAATGCGTCTTGTTCAGGGTGCGTAGCCAAATCTCTCAACAAAAAATAAGCACCTTTAGAGTACTTTTTAAACACTCAAAAAATATTTTTAAGCAATATATACATTAACAAAATGCAAAATAATTTTCAAAGACTTCATGATCAGGATATAATAAATAGTTTCTGATAAAAACCTCTTTTTTTTATTATATTAGCCACCATAAAAAGATCGAGATATTTTTCGGTTCAATTTCAGAGGGTGGAAAATGAAGCCTGAAATTGATAATATCTTACAAAATGAATGAGAATGCAAGAATCTCACCGAACCCAGCTCAGTATATGCATTGTGGACCTGCAAGTATATCATCAAACACGTAACATGATTGGAGCTATCATACAGTTCGGACCGAAGGCACGCCGAAATGGATTGTGGTTGAATGAATTGTGGAAACGTTGAATAGAACAATGTGAAAACTATGCTTTTGCATAATACGTGACGAAAATCAAGACGGTAAAGAAAAAAAATCTCACCGAAAAGGGAAAATTAAGCACTTTTTAAAAACACCCAATGAAAAATGCACCTTTAAAGGTTTTTTAAAAAAGAAAATCAAAAATAAGCACCTTTAGGCACTTTTCAAATACGCTATGCACCCTGTTGTTGCTTTAGCACTAATAGAACTAATAATATGCCTCTCATTTAAAATGCATAATAATTTACTTTAAAATTGGAACATCCGACTGGGTTTAGAATTTTAAACAATCAATGTTGACAGAGGCTTACTTTGTGTCATATACAAGAGATATAGGAAGTGACTTTAATGAGGGCATATCAGGAGTTTTAGGTTTCTTTCTTTCTTTATTATTTTCTCTGTAAGGAGATACAGGGTCCTCCTCTAGACTTAGATTTGAAATATCTAGAAAAATTACAGAATCAATTAATAAAATCCAAAATTTTTTTTAACAAAGGTATCTCAGGGTTGCCACTTAAATCTGAAAAAAAAATATATTCTCTGTACAAATTATACACAATATATTAATAGAAGACACACAATCTTGAGTGAGCTATATTATGCTAACTATACTAGTTTTAATTACTGGAAAAATTCAAAGAAATAAGGAACAGCTTAACATACCTAAAACATATAATGCTGTAGTAAATTAAATAGTTTAGTACGGATGAAATATGATCCTTAAATATTTCCCCCTTAGATTGCGCTTTGAGTGGACACCATGCACTTTTAAAAGACGTAAATAAGAAATAAAATTCCCTGTATTTTTTCAGTTTGTAAGAAATAACTCAAAATTCCCTGTTATTTTAGGTGATTTTTAAATTCCCTGTAGAGTGGCAACCCTGTATCTAGAAAATTTAGTACAATACAAAATAAATAACAAAATGTTGCAAATTTCCCAGAACTTAATTATTTTATAATTTTTATGACCAGGTTTTGCATAAAATTCTTAAATATCCATGAGAATCTCAAGATAATTGAAGCACATCTCACAAAGTAAAGGTTATAAACAAAATTTGTCAAAAAAAGAGTAAGGTGAAACCTAGATCAGCTCTAGTACTCAAGAGATTGTTAGAATTTGATATACCCTAAAAAGTGAAGATTATAAATGATTTTTTTCTTCTAGTTTACACGAAATTAAGTTTAAAAGCTAAACTAGTTAATGTTACTTTAACTTACTAGTTCATGTTACTTTAAACTAGTTTTTACTTACTACAATTCTTTGAAAAATATAATTTTTTTTTTCTCAAAACTTTCTTTCAAAATAATATTACAATATTTAAGAAAAGTTCACAATTCAATCATATCTCACATAGCAAAGATTATAAAAAAAATTTTTTAACTAGATATTCAGTTAAAGTTTTATAACTAGATCATCAGGAAAAAAATATGATAGGAAAAAAAATTATATTTTTATCTTCATTTATTTAAAATCATAATTTTTCATGGGTTTTCTTGTTAATCTTCAAAAATAGTTATAATATATTTTTAACTAAGTTATTTAATCCTTCCTAAGGGTAAAACATTTCCAAAGACAGAGGCTTGTTACTATTTTGAAAGATATGTCATAAAAATAACAATTTAAATACTTTGTATTATTAAATACACCAGTTTTAGATTAATAGATGCAAATTCTTTTATTTTTTTTATTTTTGTAACTTGATTTTACAACACATCTGTCAAATTTATAAAGGTATTTGATTCGGTTGAGAGAATTATATGAGCTTGGTTTTATGACAGTACTCTCAACAATTTTCAAAAAGAAATTTTTTTTTCCTTCCAAATTTCAAAAAAATTTGAATTTTTCAAAATAATAAAAAAAATTAGGAAGAAAATAATACATCAGTTTTAGAATAATTGTTGAAATAATATGTGGTAGTTAATAAATTTTAACAATAAAGATTTGCCATTTAAATGAAAAATAAATTGTGAAATGGCAAATGCACATGAGAGCAAATAGTTTAAAAAAATAAAGTCATAACTTATTTATAATATAAAACATTTCATAAAACATAATTTCGAAACACTTCTTCCAGACATAATAATGGTGAATTTTTCAACTTTAAGTAAAATTGAAATGTATTAATATAAACATGGACTTAAATAGTAGTTTTATTCTTACAAAGTAAATGACATTAAAAGTAAACAATAGCAAAAGTTATAAATGGCTGTTAAAGCACAACATATCAAAGAGTATAATATGTTGTACTTTCAAATAGTAGTTTTCTCATATATCAAAAAGTAGTTTGATTTATATAAACTAAATTATAATAAAAACAATAGCAAAAGTATTGAATGGCTGTTAAAGCGCAACAGAGTCAGTTTAAATGATTCAACAGGTTTTAAAATACAATATATTGAGATCTAAGCCCAAATGGCTGGCAAGCGACTGCAATTTATAGGATATCAGCAATGCAGAAGAGTTTTTGCATGTTTAGAATAGGAGGAACATTTTTCCAAATTTTCTGCCATGAACTTTTAGATTGCCAGACCTCATCCTATTCGAGTTTGGCGTGTGCAGCACGGCAGCTGCTCTGACGAACAATGAGAAATACATGTTATATAGACAGAAATGGATTGCTGTCAAGATATTTGCCCTGTATCCAAGGGTCATACATTAAATCTGTGTGGTATGTACCAGAAACTTGGAGAGTGCAGGTATTTTTTTATGCATCACTCGTTTATAGCACTCTGGTGAAGGCGTCGTTCACTGCACTAGTGCAGAGCTACGGGTCGTGAGTTGGATTCTGGAAGTCGACTAAACACGTGTATGAGCAACAAGGTGCATGTTAAATCTGTTGTGGCTGAAAGTTCTTCCATTGATGATAGTACAGTAGTTTGGAGAGAGTGATACATTATATTAAGGAGCAGTCCAAAGCATGGCAAATTACATGGAATTCCTAATATGGCCATTAAAAGGTAAAGCTCTAAAAAACTGGACAAGGTGCTCAACCATGGTTGGAGGACATACATGGCTTGTCTTTGTGAGTCATATAAGTGTAAATAAAGTCCTTTGAAACCTGATGAATAATTTAGGATAACCCTGTATTATGAGATGAAAAGGAAGGGTAAAAGGGGAGGGGGAGAAAGATACTGCTCAGCAAGAAATGGCAAGTTAATTTTTGTTGTTTCACAACACAAATACAATGCAAAACTATAACACATAATAAATTTTTTACTGGCTTTTTTTTAAAATAAGTTTTATTTATTGTTTTCTAAAATTGTGATAAGTCACTTTTTTTAAAAAATTATGATGCTAACATAAAAGCTTATAACTTTGTTAAATGTATAGAAGTACGGAGAAAAATGTACACTGGGACACTAAACACTTACCAATATTTGTTAGGTGACTAACAAGAGTGCTCAGAGCACCAGTTTTGACTAGAAGTAAGCCAATGTTCCAAAAAGGCTCAGTACGAGCTAAACAAAAACATAAAATGAAGAGAAGGGAAAACAAAATGAAATTATAACAAAATAAACATAATACATGAAGAAAAAAAAAGATTTAAAGATAAAAAAAGAACCAAAAATAAAAGTAACGCAAAGAATAGAAGCATAAAAATGTTAACAGAAAAAAAGCAAGAAAAAAACACAAAAAGAAGAAATAATAAGTTTTTAAAATAAAAAATACCTCGGTTTTGAGGAGACGACAGCATTTATGATTTAAAACATGATATGTGCAGCGTATCTAATAGAACAACCTATTGGGTGCTTTTTTTTCTTTACTATTTGAGCTTGAAAATTCTATTTTGCTGAAATGGTTCTCTAAAATTTCATTATTACTCTTCATCCATTTATCTTTTGCAGCAATTTATTTTTATAATATACGACCAATAATAATTTAAAAAATTAGCAATGCAGGTGGTAAACAGTTTGCAAGAATGAATATAACAATAGCACAACAGACGCTCTACTTTTACTCTTAAAATTAGTAAAAAGAATTGAAAGCATTCATTATTGTTTTGTGTAGTGTAATCCTGCACAAAACAAGATTTTATTCAATTTTATTCAATCATTATTAATGTTTTTTTTTCTTCTTTGCATTATTGTAAGGATTTTTAGCCGTTAAACCATTTGATTTAATAATATTTAGGTATTTCAAATCAAGTTAAGATAACGGGACAGTATGCAATCACAATTGTTCTACATGGTACAATTTTGAGCCTAGTAAGATTCTTTTCATAAACTTATTGTATTTCGATAACTTATTTTTAGTACATTCAGGTTCTTAATTACTTGGTTTACATAAAATTTGAATACATTAAATTGGAATTTATTAACATAATGCACACAATTGTACATGGTACAATTTTGCGTACATTTGAATGAGTTACAAAAATTATTGAAATACATAATTTTTTATTCAAAGTAAGATCGCATATATTAATTTATCATATATTTAATAATTATTTTAATGATCTTTAAACATTTAATAATTAAAATAACTTATTATTTAACAGATGCGTTAACTTTGCGATCTAGTAAGCAGTAAAAGTTTGCACAGTGTATCCGGTGGTACAGTATTCCTGATAAAAAACTTTTTATTTTTATTCAAATTTTGCGGGTGGATCCCAGGGGGGCATATCTTCACGAAATTATGGTGATAAACTTAAGCAAGTAAAAAAAAAAAAGAATGAAAATAAGGATTTTTAAAATTTTATTTAAAAAAGAGTCATGAATAAAAAAGTGACATGAAACTTTAAGTATTTAGTAGTTTAAAATGAAGCTATCAGAGGGTCATAAAAAACAATTAAATATTGACTAATATTAATGAATATTACAATTGAAACTAATATGTTATTAGTCTTAGTTAAACTAATAAATAAGACTAATTGCGAGGAAGAAAGTTGTGAGCTAGTGCAAAATTAGGTGAAACATTTGTTGAAATGAAAACAAATATCTGATTTTCATAATCTAAAATTTATGTTAATGAAATAATTAGTAAGCAAAATATTAGTTCACCTACAATCAATTCTTTTCCTAAGAACACACCATGCCAGAGCTGCAGTAAGGATTGAAAAATAGTGCATTGAAATTAGAAGGGTTATGTAACAACATTAAAATTAGTAATAAGACTTGAAAGAATAGAATTAGAAAAAAATTTTATAGCCGGAAAACATTGAGTGGAAAATATAGAAAGTTGAGCATATACATAAATGTGATCATTATAAATTTATATTTCATGATATTAATACTAACAATATCACAAAATTAAAAGGATTATTAAAGTTAATAATGCAATAACACGAGTAATTTTTTTAAAAATAACATGAGTTGTTTTAATAATAGATTATGAGTGCTTTTAAATAAAACTTAAAATATGATTGGTACAGTTACTAATTTAAACGATATAAGTCAAATAAGATATAAAAAGTTTAAGTATAATACAAATAGTTGTTTTTAGCATGACAATTATCCTATCCAAGTCATTTTGCAGATAAAAATAAAATTTTATAATGAAATGGTTAACTCTTTCATTTGTTTTAATAGCATAAAAATAATTTTAATAGCTTAATTTGTTTTGATAGCTAAAAACAGCTTGAAAGTAATTGGAGAAAGCAATATAAATAACAAGTTCAATAACTTTAGAATGACAAATGCTATGGAAGCACATAAATTTGCTGGTCAGACTGCACCCAAAACAATAATTACAGCTTAAAAGCAATTAGAATATTAAATTTTTATGAAAAAATTAAATATTTTTTAAAAAATTATAAAAATAAAGTTTGTTTTTCAACAACAAAATAAATGGCATAATTGATTACTGGATTGTGTACTATTTTTCAGTAATAGAGCTCAAAAAACATAAACTTAAAAAAAAAAAAAAAAAAAAAAAAAAAACACTACTCTATATACAAAATGTTTATAAATTGTTCATACGAAGGAAAAAATAGTATTTTTCCAATAATTTTAATGGAAAACTTTAAAATTCAATTTAATTTCAAAGTAATAAGAAAAAATGAAAAGTAATCAGAAAATGGTCAATTACTCACCAGGAGTTAAAAAATTAGGATCAATAGGTTTACCAGATGATTTACATTCTTCAACTTCCAGGTAACTGACCAGATGGGACCATAAGGCAGATTTACCCTGGGAAATAGTTTGTGTTAGATTTCTAATAATTTATTAAGGAAATTAAAACATATTAATAGCACAATTAAAGGTACTAAGATGCTTGTGACAACAGATACTAGCTTTGAAAGTAATCTAATTATTTGATGATCAGAAGAAACGCAAATTTTATTATAATGGCTTTCAGCAGCTTAAATTGACGAAATATTTCAAATATATTACACAACAGAAAAAAATCCCAGCTTCCTTCTATGCCCCAGCCTCTCTGAATTTTCAATCTTCTTCATATATTTTTAATTAGGTGCATGATACAACTTGCCCTCTAGTGGCTCCCCACAATTTTGGTAAAGTTGAGGATTACTAATGTCATTTTGTAAATCTTCATCTTCTTTAACAGCAAATATTCAGAATTTGTATTTTAGCCGTATTTTACATTTCACTAAAGGAAAATTATTATGATATTTTTATGACACTTTAAACACTATCAAAATCATTATTGAGAGAAAAATACTAGTTGGAAAGCTACAAGTAAAAAAATTTGCAATTCTGTCAATGCATATTACTAAAAAATTATTGTAAATAATTGCTAAAATATGAGCACTTCAATGAATTGTAATATAATACAAATGTAAAAAGCTAAGACATGTTTTTTCATTCTTTTTTTAACAATAGCATATTTTTATTATTTAATATTAAGCCAATGAGTATTCTAGAGATATAGTTTTACAGTGGTTGAGCAGTCATTGTAAATATTAGGATTCTATTCCCTGTAGCAGCTCGAAAACCAGCATAGCTTCAGATAGATGGGTATTAACTTGTTTCGAAAAGGTGGACACTGCACTATGTTGGTCACATTGCTATTATCTTGTTGGTCTCAAAATTATTTAGCCTTACCCATGACCCCCTTGGTTAACAGCAACGCGTTACAAGATAGCTTTATTTTTACAAGATATATGACAAAACTGACATTATTATAAGATATGAAACTGAAATCATAATTGACTTTTAATGCATAAATATAAGCTCTGGTGGCTCAGGGAATAGAGTGTTCGGCTTCCAATGAGGCGAATCGGGTTCGAATCCCAGCCATGGCTGGTTGATACAAATTCCGCACTCGCCTCGCACCAACAGTTTAAGTTTCCCTTTTCATGTAAGGCAAATGTGAGTAATAAGACTATAATCAATGGGAAGAATAAGTTATTAAAGTAAACATACTTGCTTAGCTTGTAAACCATGGGCCCAGACTCTTTCCAATAGATCACATAAACTAGCAATCAAAGTGTTTTCTTCAACTCCAGTAATGCTGATTTCATTGTGACCCAAGTCAACAGCTTCTTGACCCATTTTCTCTACAAGCATTCGCTTTGTCTAAGTATAGAAAAAACAATCACTATCTAGAACAGATTTTTTTTAAATAGCTAAATAAAAAAAATATTTTGCAAACCCCGTATTTCTTAAAGTTTTTTCATGAACATCCCAATTTTATCTATTATTCATCAAATAAAAATTGGTTCGGTAACAAGTTGCTTTCCTTTGGACCTAGGAGTTTAAAAACCTGAGTTTTCTTTTAGCAGCTCAGCACTGATTTCCTTCGTTAAAAAAAAATGTTTCCCAAGAAGAGAATATCTTTAAAATACAGTTAATGATTATAAAATTCCGTTACATCGTTAACCCTTTTTCAAAAACAAATATCAAATATTAAAACAAGTAAAAAATAAACAACATTTGGAAAAATAGGCAAAGGCAATTAATTTAAGAAATTAAAATAACTGTATGGTTCCTCTAAAATAACTGTTTAGTTTACAATTTTATAATTATATAAAGAACTGTTAAAATAGTATAATCAAATTTTATAAATGCTTCTAGATTAACAAATTACATATTAAACATAGACACATAGAATAAATTGCACATTGACAGAGAGATGCTATTTGTAATTGTGGAAATAATTACAAATAGGGTACCAATTTTTATAATCAGATACTGATAAGTATGAATACTCTAAACTGATGCTTAATTCTTAAATATGGAAAAAAATATGAATTTAAAAAAAAAAATTTTGGCATTATATTAAATTTGTTTAAATTTAAGCTATATTTAGTAATTTAAGCTTAATATTGATAAGCAATAGTAAAGGTAATTTCTCGTTTTTTCCATTTTGTCTTCGTTTCTTCCAGACTAAATGCCAAACTAGCTCTTATCTGAAAACTGGTGGTAGTCATGAAAAAGTTATGCTTTGTCACAAGCCTAAAATTGGTCATAGCCACATGTCTAGGGAGGTTGCATTGGAGGAATTTAGTCACAAATTTGAAGACTTATGAGTGACCCATGTCGCTTGACAGTGCTTAATTAAATTGTTGATTTTTCAATTTTATAACATAAAAATAATTTTATAATAATTTTATAACATAAGTGAAAAAAGTATGTAAACCTACCTTACCAAGAATTAAAAATTTTAAATTAAAAAACAATTGTAGAAATAGAGTATTGGATCACTATTTAAACTGAAACTAATTTACTATTTTTTTATAATATAGTACATAATTTTACCACTCATATTCAGATAATTGTTACATTTTATTCACAAGAGTGAAATTTTATAAAATATGATGTAAGCCTGACCAACCCAAATGGTTCAATTAGCCACTTTGATGGTGTTGAATGTTACAACCACCTGCCCATTAGGTAAACATGCTTATAAAAATTATAATAAAAGTACAAATTGAAAAATAAAACTTTATTATTGCTTTACAATGATTTAAAACATAATGAACTTTTGAGTCTTAATGAAATATTCATTTATTCTTTCTTTCACTTCATTTTTGTAAATCTTTGTTTTATGATATATGTTTCAAAGCTTAGACGGTTTTCTAAATTAGCCTCAGTTAATAACTCACATAAATTTCATGTTTACAAACAGATGTGGATTTAAAAGCACTTAACAGTTGTTGTGCAAATTATCTTCATTTATTGCATTGCCACAAAAATTTGGTTCATTTCATGGTTGCACTGCAACTCAATTAACAGCATTTGGAGAGATGGCAGTTCATGACAATATGAAAATATTTCAAACATTAATTTTATCACAATTGGTTAATTCAGAATAATGATTATTAAATGTTATTAGCTTCTTTATCATATTACTATGCTTTGAGAAATTCTTAGGTTTGCCTTTAGGAGTAATATAGCAAAAAATAGTGTAAATTATTTTCCCAAGTAAGTACTCAAACAACAATTTCTCATTAAAAAGTATTTCTATCATTAAATTAAAATATAATTCCCTTAATATATTTTGTAAATTAACAACAGAAAACAAAATGTACACCAGAAATATAAATTCGCCCAGCCCCTTCAATAGGCTCTTTGTTTGACAGATCTGTTACACAGATGTTTAAAAAACAAAAATACCATTACAATGTGAAGCACTTCCTCTCCTAGAACAGAAAAAAACCATAACTTCTAATTACTAGATATAATTTCACTGTAGTACATTATAATTATTACACATATACATTAAATATATATACATAAATAAACACACACACATAAATATAAAGAAATAGAGAAGTTTCGTACCCTCATTTTAGCCTCCTTCAGAAGAGCAACAACAAATTTCCAGTACGTCTGTGATATAGATGCTGGAGAAACATCATAATGTTTTTGATTCCTAATAGTTTTAGTCCTGGCCTCTTGGATATATTTCTAAAAGATTTTATCTATTATGTTTTCTCTAATGTATTTAGGATGATAAGAAAGTTAAATATTATGAACTTTTTACAAAAATTTAGAACTTTTATGGAAACGCTCACATTGATCTTAACAATTCGATGTGTCATATAATAACTCCTTCCAAATTTGAAAGAATATTTTACTGTCTAATACTACCTTTTCATTGAGTGGCAAGGTGAGAGACCAATATTTGTTTCTGGAAATTAACCAACTTAAAGATAGAAAAAAACCTATTCTTTTTTTTTTCTTTTTTTGCAAGCTGCAGAAATAATACTAGGAGATTGGAAGCTTTTAACTGGCAATTGCTGCAAATTGACAAAATTTAATTTTTTTCCATCTTGTTTGTAAAAATTCTTTAGGTACTTTTAATTACTTTACCCTTTTTTAAAAAAAAATAAGCATTGCAGTATCCCCACAAAAAAATGTTAAAACTTTAACACAGTATGTAGTGGTTTCTGCTTTTTAGTCTTATTGCCTTATTTTAGTACCAGAAAATCAATATAACAGGAGTAAAGAAGCAATTACAAATAATTAGCATAATTCTTGAAATTATGTGCAAATCCTACAGATTTTTTTTCTTTTTTTTTAATGTAAGTTGAAGTTAAAAATATTTGTCGGAATGAGTTTCACAATAACAAAAAATGCTAAAGGCTAATAAAATTACAGTAGAAGTACTTAAGGCAACAAAATTAAAAAACAAAATCGATGTTCTTCCTTGAAAAATGTAAACAAAATATTAAACAGATTTTTTTAAATTTTTACACGTCTTCAAGTAATTGGTGAGTTCTACTTTTTTTGAGGTTTGGTTAAGACAAAAAATAGCTGCAAACTTTTTACTTTATATTTTAAACTTTATTTATATCTACAAACACTAATATTTCTCATATGTTCAACATGAGAGTAAATATGATTTTGTAGTTCTAATGCAATACAAATATTAATAAATAAGGGGGTGGGAGGGAGCATTACGTTATTTATATGCAACTTAATAAATTTTTAATCCAAAGCAAAGTTTCAAAACCTGTTAACTGTCATCACAGGAATTAATGCTTCAAATAATATTTTATTTTTAAAGCTGTTGCTGGTTTTTCACAGTTATTTATGATTGTTAAGTTACGCTTAGATCATATTTAGTCCACACCTTTAATGCTAATTATGAAAGCGATGTAAAATATCATTATGAAGAAAAATCAAGACTAAGTGAGAAAAAAAAAACATTTGTGATCTAATTTTTAAATATTTCGATAGATTAACTCTCTGCAGTTTTTGGATAGATAAAAAACGTACAAATTAATCACAGATTTTAATAATTTTCTTCTATAGAGGTGTAATACACTTAATATATATATATTTAAATATTAGTCTCCTGATGATAAAACGATTTTTAACAATACAGTAAGAACTCTCGGATATAGCATAAAATCAAATCTCTTCTTCAAGTGTAAGGTATTTAGACTGTGGCATTTTTTTTTTTATTGTTTCTGGCAAAAGAGCTTCTTAAAAGAAAATTAATGTGTTACCAAACAAAAATATGGCAATGAGATTTACTTGAATTTAACAAACTAAACAATATTACATTTTATTTATTCCTCCTTGTCAAGTTGAAAAGTTTTATCTTGTTAGGATTCATATAAAATAATATTTATAAGAAAATGTTGAACAAGAGTTTAAAATAAATGAATTACACAGACAGTAAAATATATTCATGTCTTTGTATTTTAATAAAAATGTTAAGTAATTTTTCGGTGAATATTTAACTAAATTTAGATATTTAAGTTTAATTTTGATACCAAGACAATTTTGGTATTCATTCCATGTTTACTACTGTAGTTTGCTGTAAGTTTTAAAAATGTAGACAATACCTCAAGACGGCACAACTTATTTATATTTTGCTACCTTACAATACACTGCCACAAAGTCGTCCTTTTGTTTATAATTGTTAGTTAAAGAACTCTTTGTTAAAAAGCAAAATGACATGCACAGCCAATACTTACTTTCCAAAGCCCAGCATGTTTTTCAGCAAGTTCAAACTAACAGACGAAACAAATAGTAATACATTAATGTCATGCACAAATAGCCCAAGAATATAAGCATGCAACAAGAATAGCTCAAAAAAAAGGTTAAAACAAAGCAGAATTAACATGTTAGTTACATACAGAAATGTTACAAAACAGAAAGGAAAACACAGGCTTAATTTGTCAATGCAAGCTTTAACCATATTTGTTTCCAAACTCTCATAATTTGTTTTACAATTAAATAACTTAACAAATAAAAATGATGTAAACAGACATTAAAAAATATTTTAAAAAAACAGAATGTTCACTGTAAAAAAAAATATAAATTTAAAAAAAAGAGGGGGAAATCACAAAAAATTAAATATACATTTAAAATACTCAGCTCTTACTTCTCTTTGGCGAGCATTTATTTGCAAATGTTCTGATTGCTGATGTCTACGACCTTGACGTTTCCACTGTGCGCTACTTATTCTTCTCCTCGATCTGACAAAGATATAACATAATAACCATCATATACGTTTAATTCCCATTAATTTTTGTCCATACTACAGAAATAATTAAAACAGACAATATTTAATCAATTCACAGCAGAGGTATTAGAAATATAAATATTTGAAAATGTGAAGTTTCTCTTGAAGTTTCAAGTTTTGTGAATCTATAGTTTTCATGTTACAACATTTTGTAGCTAAACTGGAAAGCCATTACTGTAATTTAATAATTGTCTGTTTCTGATGAAAAATAATATCATAGTACTATTTTTCTAGTAATTTAAAATAAAAATCTTTCCTGCAATTTGAATTTTTTGTATAGAGATATAATGAAAAAAGACAGTTTTCAATTACAAATTAAACTTAAGTTCTGTTAAAAAAAATGGAAAGCATCGTTTTAAAATAAAAAGCTTTATTTTTTTGATGCAATTACGTGTCAAATCCAGGCTTGAAATAGGCAATTACGTGTCAAATCCAGGCTTGAAATAGACAACAGAAGATCTATATAATGCCATTCAATAAACTGTAAACAGCTCTATTCAATAACTGTATACAGCTCTATTCAATAGCTGTATACAGCTCTACAAATTCTCTATAAACAGCATTAACTTGACTGTTTCAAACGCTAACAAAAACAGATAAATTTGCTGGATTCTATTTCTAATGCTCTTGGTAATAAAACTTTTTTTCTGTAAATAATAAATACTTCAGTGCATATTTTTGTATTTTAAAGTATTTTCATTCAAAAATTACTTGAAAATATTAATATTGATTTATTCTAGATATATATTGCTTTGTAGAGAAGGTAAGTTTTATGATATGTGAAATTATTTAAACAACAGAAAATTCAATGTAACACAAAGCCTGATGGTTCAATGAATGTATTATAAAGATATTATACTATATAACATATAATAACCCGATAATATAATATGTGGTCTAGCTTGATATAAGGTCAATATTAAGGGGGGATATAGGGCCATGTTGTAATACAAAATATTGACTTTGAATTTCTTCATTTTAACGCTATTCAACACACTATTATATATATACTTATATAGTAACCGATAGTGTCAAATTGTGGGCCCCCTATTAGGCCTATAATTATTTCCTCTGGTAGTGTACACTAGTACCTGGAAATATAATATGTAGTCTAGTTTAAATATTATGAGTCAATATTAAGGGGAGATATAGGGCCATGTTGTAATACAGAATAATATGTTAATAAATAAAAATGTTCATTCTGCTTTGGGATGATATTTTTTATACAGCTTTATTTTTTTCTACAATTTCTTTTAATTCAAGAAAAATTTACTTCCCAAAATGTAACTTACAGAGAGAAATTATTTTCTTCCATAACAGAATAATAAATACTACTTTACCTATGGGCAGCAGGTTCTTCATTCAGAAGTTCACTGTTCAGCAAAGGAAAATGACTAGGAATGTATCTTTTTTTAATAGAGACATCAGTTGTTCCTTCAATAGGTTTTGGTAAAGGGGCAACAATGTCTACCTTACTAATCCTCCTTTCAATCTGGCTCTCTGCAACCAAAGAGATATTCTTTAGACAAGCTTACAAAAATAGTTCCTAAATTAGATTTGTTATTTTAAAATTTAAATATTAGGTAAGTACAGTGAATGAACATGTAGAACCGGATAGAAATAAGCACGCTTGCAACACTGATATTGTATAACTTGAGAAACAATAAATAAAATACTTTAATAAGGATCATTAGTTTAACAAACTATTGGGTGATTATCTTGAACTAGCAAATTGTACCAGACAGGATGACACATTTTCAACATGGTAAGAAAACATAGATAAAACATGAGAAATAAAGATAAAAAAAAGATTATTAATTTTAATGAAAAGTTGTATGCCGTCTACACTCTTTAAATTTACCCATTTTTTCATTAAAAAGTTCGTTTTCTATTCCATAGATGCAATATTATATTATCATGCATCAGAATATCAGCATTATTTTACAATAGCAACTGAAATTAATTAAAACACATTTTCACATAAAAATCGATCGCTATGAAGATAAATGACAAAATTTTTTTTTAAATCTTTAAAAACAAAGTTCTTTCATTGAAAGTAAATGTAAGTTTTTGTTTAGAAGAAAGGGAATACTTATTGTCAGATGTAATAAATTAGACACAAATAAATAAACAACTCAAGTTATTTCTTACCCTATATTTAAAATTTTACTGAGTTTTTGACACCTTTTTTAAGAAACATATTTAGTTTGAATATTTTAACGAGATGAAAAACTGTTGCTCAAAAATTAATCGCAAACTGCCATTATTTGGTTGAATTGGAATAGATTTTTAAAAGCATTAACTCATATATTATTTAAAAAAAATTTTGATAGAAATATATTGAGTTATAACATTTCAATACAATACAAAAAAAATTTCTGTATTCTATTTTTTTTTTATTTTTCATGAATATTTTAATTTATATTTATTTTAAATGCCTTTAAAAAAATGTTAAGAACTGTGTTTCCAATATAAAGTTAAGTTTTATAAACCATTCTAAATGGAGGATCACTTTATTTTGCTTTTTGGCATAAAATATATAATTTATAACATGCATAATTTAAACATTAGTATTACATTCAAAACTTAAGACAAAATTATGATTATTATATTATTTTAATTTACCTGTTTCTTGATAAGTTGTACATCTTTCATATGTTGTTACTCTCACCCCATCTCCACAATGTTCACCCTGCAGTAGACGCATTCTAGCATCAAATAGCTGCAGAAATAAGTACACATTTCATTCAGTTACAATTGCAGATGAATTTATTAATACACATGAAAGTAAGAACTGCTATTGGCAAATGTCAAGAGTATGGTGTAAAGACTGTATTTTTGAAGTTATGTTACACATGGCATGCAATCATAGTTTGCAAAAAACATGATTTTTCTTTTTAAATAATTTAAATTAAAAAAAAACGCTTTTTTTACATTGACCAATCATGATTTTTTTTAAATAAATAAAAAAAAACTGTTTCACATTGACCAATCGAAACTCAGATTAAATGTATTAATGGAAACATTTTAATTATCTGAAAACAATATTAAAACTAAAGTATATTTCAAACTAAAATGATTGAAATAGAAAGAAAAATTGAATAGATTGAGAAAAAAAATTGAAATTATTCTTGGCTCAACAAGTCTTCCTTCCTTATTTTTGTGTGTATACAAACTACATATTAAATAAATTTTAAAAGTTCTAGTATTTAACATAAAACTAAACGGTTATAATAAAAAATTAAATTAATATTAAACAAAAAATTTTTACATGGAAAATGCGTTGGTCTCTTTTCCTATTTATTATTCAATTTTAACCATCAAATAATATTTTAGGCATTATTTCCCTCATTAAAACAAAACCTTCAATACCAATCAATGAAATCAGACAGTAAAAAATATATTTTTGAATTAAATCAATGATTAAAAAAAAGTCAAATGATTTAAATCTCAACCCTGTATAGACTTAGAGGTTGAGCAGCTCCAAAGAGCAGGGCACATCGACGAAACGTCTATTGTACCCAAACCCTAAATCATGATTACCAAGAAAGCTTCATAGCTGAAATAAAGCTCAGCAAACACCTGACATGGATATCTTGCAATTTCTAGGCCTTAATTCAATGTTGCTCTATATGTTCAAATCTTTGGGCAGAATAGACCTCACAATCACAAAGTATATGTTATAAAGTCTTCTCAAGATGACAACCTCGACAAAAAGGATGAGATACAACCCCCATTATGTAAAACCCTGTATATAGTTACCTTTAAATAAGGATCAGGGTCTTCCCATAATGACACAATTTTGTTGTCTATGAAGGTGGCAAACATTTGAGTTTCAATGAATCTAGACAGGAAGGGCAGATAAGGTTCAGGCTGATCCGATAAAAAAGAAGTTTTATCAAAATTTTGCATCGTTTCTCTCGTACTCAACCACTGTTCCATGTCATGCTGAAATTTTAATAATAACAATTTGAAAATAATATTAATGATTAAAATATTCAACTCAGTTATCAATAACTTGAACATTGTAAAATAAAAAGCATAAAAAATGCAAATTAAGAAAAATTATTAGCATAATTTATACAGTAAACTGGCTCTAAGGAGGAATAAGTCCGAAGCAAATATTTCCGACTTACAAGGTTAGTTTCACCCATCAAACTATTCCATTTGAAGTTGTAATTCCCAAATCAAACTGAATTTATTTTTTATACAGCTTTTTCTTGGTCATGAAATTATACACACAAAACATTTTGAGTGTTGCACCTTCACAAATATAATAAAAATACAGAGATTGAGCAAAGTAACGAAAATGAGTTATTTAAAAATTATAATTTTCACAGCTCTTCATTTATCTTAGCATCAAAATGGTTTTATAGGTGGGAAAAGTATGAATGCTACTTATATTTCTTTCAAAAAGGTTAAGGATTCTAAAAACTACAGCAGAAATATCAGTTTTAAAAAGAATTTTGCTCTTGTTAGAGACATTAAGAACTTATTTTTTAGACAAATTCCAGCATAGGTAACATATTCTAATATATACAATAAGATAATACATACTTTCAAAATAAAGTTTTAAAAATAAAAAGTGTAACAACAAACCTGATTCGGCTGAATGACGAAACTTTCGTAAGACCTGAACATATGAATGAATCGGCTTAAGAAAATTTCCCTCACAGCATTATTCAGCTTTAACATGTCGATGTATCCTCGGATTTCTTCTTTACCACGACTTCGACTTCTGCTCTCGTTATCTGTCTTCTTTGGCTTCTCAAGATCACTAAGGGTGTTTATAACACCTAAGCAATGATACAATATAAGATTTTAATTTAATTTTCCTTAAAAAAATTATATTATTGAAACATTAAGTTTCTTTCTCTTTTTTTTTTTTTTGATTTGTTGTAACATAAAAATTTTTATTTGTGAAGTCATTTCGTTTAAATGCTTTATTATTATTTTTTTCCTCAGAAATATTGCTTACCTAAAGGTGTTTATAACACCCAAGCAATGACACAGTAAATAATTAAAATGCTAATTTTAATACAAGATTTCAGTTTTACTTTCTTTAAAAAATTTTATTATTGTTTTTTTTCTGCTGGATTTTTTATAACATAAAATTTGTTATTTGTGAAGTTATTCTGTTTAAATGCTTTATTTATTTATTTTTGAAATATCACATGCCATGCTCCCTTTAGAACAAATAACCATTACAAGACACAACGGCCCCAATGCTATTAAATCACTCTGTTTAGATAGATGTTAAAAAAAATAGTGCTGCTTTTCTGCACAATAATTTTGAGTAGTATATGAGCAGGATTTTTAGTTTTTATTGAGAAAGATTATGAGTAGGATTTTATCAACTTTGACAAGTTTTTGAAAGGAAGATTATAATTTTTAAATAAATTTTCTATGCCACATTTAAAACTTCACCATGCCACAATATAGCAATGGGATGGGCACCAATGAGTTATCCAGACTACTGTAAGGTTTCTTTTTCCTACGAGATCTCCGAAAACCAGCTTGAACGGCTAATTTTAAGAGAAAATATTACAAAATAGTGTTGAAATGTTGTCTTTTCATGTGAACTTTGAATAAAATAACTCTTTCTTATATCAAAAAATTTATAATTTTTTTACACAGGGATGAGATTAGCCAAAAGGCAAAAAAGCTGAATTTACACGATAGTAAATTTTACGCAAGCGCAACCCTTTAATAATAAATTCCAGACAGTTTAAGGTAATAAATAATGTGTTGACATATAATTGTATAGTAATCTATCATTATATAAATGATTACATTGATACTTAACATTTAGTGAAAATAAAAATTATCAATTGAAAAAATAAAGCTGGAAATTATATTTTTCCTCAGTTCACATAAGAGAAAATTATTACTTAAAAAACTACCTGGTTTAGCAAATTAAAACTACTGTGAATATACATTAATATTTCATTTCTTTTAACAAATGCTCTTATGTGATTTATAGCAAATATGTCAATAATATTACTTTTTAAATTATATTGGGAAAAAAAACTTTAACAATGGACCAAATTATTATGTTCATATTATAGTCTAATCTAACTAGAGCCTTTGAAACATATCAATAACAGTGAAGTAGAAATATATAGTAACTCCTTAACATACAAAAATTGCTATTTTAGTTTGAAAAATTACATGACTATCAGCAACTGTTTAGATAATTGCTTTTTATTTGATAAGAATTTTGCATTTTATAGTATAAATAACTGCAATTATAAATAAAATTTTGATGAATTTAACTCTTTTTCCACAAAAAAAAATAATTAAATTAAATCCCTTTTTAAGTGATTGCTTTTGTTTACTATATCTTTTATGTTTGCTATATTTAGTCGTTAGTCCATCTTCAAACATCTTGTGACAAATCCTATTTTTTCTTCTTTGCAAGCACACAATGCAAGTTTTGAATATATTCCCTTCCACGTTCTCTGATGTTTTAACACTTACATATACTAATAATCGTCGTTAGAAAAGCAGTCACCTTTATAGTAACTAATTTTAAAAAAATTTACTTCTTACTAGAATCGCGATAGTTGATCTTAAAATTGCGTGAATATGAATAACAATTATGGATTTTGAACTCACATGGATATGAAACTAGATATACGATTTTGAAAATGAGAAAATACAAACTGGGATATAGAATTTTTAAAACGCGTAAATACAAATCACGATTCATAATTTTTAGATTGCGTAAATACGAATCATACTGCGTAATTTTTAGATTGCATAAATAAGAATTATGATGCATAATTTTTAGAATGCGTGAATGCGAATCCCAACGGCTTTTTTTAAAATCACGTATAAATACGAAAATCAATGTTTGATATTATAAACCGCATGAGCAAATCAAGACCTTGAATTTTAAACTTGCGTGAATACAAATCACAATATCGATTCTTAAATCTCGTAAATAAGAATCGCAGCGTACAATATTCAAATCGCGTGAATAAGAATCGCAACACGCAAATATGAAAAGCTATATTTGATATTAAAATCGTGTGAATAAGAATCGAGATATTAGCAGATTCCAGGCTTGGGACCCCTAAAGGGCTTGACACAAAAATCGGATCTATCTGGAGGGCGGGTAAAATATTCGGAAAATCTTATCTGCTGCGAGTAAAAGGGGAGAAAATAGCTAAAATAAGTAAAAATGAGAAAGGATTGGTAGCTATGTAGTTTGAATTTTCTGTTACTCTTTGAAAATCGGTGAATTTTCAGAAAAAGTGGAATACTTATTAAAAAAAAGTGAAATTTTTAAAAAAATCTGAATTTTTGATAAAAAAAGCTGAAATACAAGAGATAAAAATGAAAAAAGCAGAAATCCGCTAAAAAGCGGAAAAATCTCATCCCTGTTTATACCTTTCAAAACCAATGTGCCCTATTTATTCATAAACCTGTTTTTAAAGCTCCTTAAAAAGTTCATATTTTTTACACTTGGTTCTTTATCTCTTCTGGATTCTTAAAATGTTTTTTTTCTCCCCTTGACATCATATAGAAAAGTTTGCAATGGTAAAATTGAAGAGTTTAAAATAAATCTTTTATTGGATTGCAAAAAATTTGAAATAAATATATAAAGGATAATTTTAGCCTTACTAGTCTCCCCTTAATTCATAAAACTGGTTTTAAATTCCTAAAAAAAAAGGCTCTGCTTATTATATTTAGAGCTAAACTCTTTCTTCCTGATTCTTAAAATATTCTTATTTAAAACATCATACAGAAGAATAATTATCTATGGTAAAAATGTAGAGCTTAAACATTCTTATTTTAAGTACGAACCGCCCTAGCATTAATTTTATCTTGGACCCAGTATGGCCTAAAATTGGCTCAATATGGGTCCTATATGAACATGCACCAAGAGATCAATATTGGGATGTCTAGATTTTTTAATATTGGTTCTAAATAGGGCCAATATTGGCCTATATATGGTCAATATAGAACCTATATGGGCTGAATAATGAATATAAAACATCGGAAGAATTTGACAACTCTATATAGGGCTGATATTGGTTGTAAAGTGTCTGTAAAATATCAGGCAAATCAGCAAATTCTATATAAGGCTAATGTCGGAAAATAATGACCCTTTGAAAGTTCATTGAGCCAAGATTTCTGAATATTGGTCCAATGAGGGACCAAGTTATTTTGCTGCTAGGGTAACTGAAAAACATAATAGAAAGAAAAAAAATTTAACCTGTCTTTTTGGCAAGAGCTGCAACTTTTTGTAAGGCTTCACTTTGTTGCAAAACATGACTATGTGTACTGGCAAGACTACTATAGGAGCTTCTGGCACTGCTGTCAGAACTGCTTACACCCGAATCCCCACTATCAAAAGTCCAGGAGAGTTTTCGAAGATGATTTCTTGAAGATCTCTCATTTGAATTGCGATCTAGACCCTTCCCAGAGGAGGATACACCAAACATTTTCATTGTATCAACTAATTCTAATACTAATTCATTTCTGGATGGAAATCTTGGAATGTCTTCTGGAATTTCGACCACCTGATTATCAATGTCAACACAACATAGGTTGGCCTGTATCAAACAAAATAACCACAGCAATTAAAACACAGGAAGTATAATTTCAAACTATGAAATACATACATAGCTGCTAACATGGATAGGAAAAAATACAGTAGATTTTACAAAATAATATAAATTTCATGATAACTGTTCCATAATATACTAAATATTTTACATAAAGGGAATTTTATGGATTTTTGTTGTCATCAAAATACAAAAACTTTTATAAAACTTGAACTGTTTTTTTTAAGCTAACTCATAATTTTTAATACTAATAGGCAAGTAATTTATTACTGATAGTTGAAATATTTTTTTATTAGTTAAAAAAGGGTGTTTTAAAAGAAAAAAAACTTTTAGAACAAAAAATAAATAAATTAATTAAATGAACTTTAAAATAATTACTATAAATGAGGCCTGCTTCATTATGTATTAGTAATACTTATTCAAATATTTAAACAAGCAATAAATTGTGTAAAAATTCTATTTCAATAGGGATTTTTTTAAGGAAACTTATTAAGTTTTAGGAAATTTTCTAAAATATGCAAAAACAAAATTTTTTTATTAAACCAGTAGACCAGGAGAAACTGGCAAAATCCAGTAGTCTATTAGTAAATCCAGTAGAGTTGGAAGCGATGTACAAACCATAATATATTTTAATAGTTGAGCTAATGACAAGGCACAGAAAGATAAAAAATACATTAAAATTTATTCCTTTATAATAAATAATTCCTTTATAAGGTTGTGAGAAGTATATGCATTGTGCCCATCTGCTAATAACATTAAAAAATATTTTTAAAAATACCAGTTGTTTGCATAAATATGGGTTATGGTGAAGGCTAGCCTGGGTCAAGGAGAGAGAGGTCAATACTGGGGACCTATTTTTTCTTGAGTTTTATGTATTCATTCATTTCATCATTTTTCATCGAGTTCATTTGAACAGAGAATTTATAAATTTGGTTTTTTATAATTACAGAAGTTTAAGCTTATGGCCAGTTCTTTAGAGTACATAAAATTTTAAAAATCCCACCCATCTTTAAAATAAAAAAAAGAGGATCTTAAAATAATTTTTAGACTTTATTTGACAAATATTAATAAAAATATAATAGATATAATAATTATAACAATATAATAAGTAAACAATAATTTTAATTATATAATTAATTATAATACAGTAGGGAACCGATTATCCGGAACGATCGGGACCATCGCTATTCCGGATAACTGATTTTTCTGGTTTTCTGAATCGCTACAAAAAGCCGTTTTTTTTATTGTCAAATTCAACTAAAAAAATATATTTGGAAATAATCTTTAAAAGAAGAAAAAAAACGATGAAGTAATACACTAATGATTGTTTCCAAAATGATGGTAAGGTTAACATCTTTCAAAAAAGAAGGAAAAATCTTGAAATCTTATGAGGAGAAAAACATTTGTTTTTTCAAAAATGGCGGGAAAATTTATCGAATTTCGTTCCGGTTATTTGGTTTTCCGGTTTTCTGATTTCCGGATAACGGGTTCTGTACTGTATAATAATTCAATTTTTAGGTAATAAGCAAAATAAATTTTCAAAATCAAACTCAGACCAAAAAATATTCTATCATAACATTGCTCGAAAAAAAAATTCCCTAGATAAGCTAATCAATCATTAGAAAATTGATTAATGTAAAGTGTACAAAAATGCTTTCTTTTGAAAGTAAAACTTTCACCTATTAAGAAAAATAGATTCTCTTACTTCGCATGGGATGGATAATTGAGCTCGTTCTTCCATGCCGCAACACAGTCCCATAATGTATGGGACAGGTGCATCAAGGAAGTGATGTAAAGATGCAGGCAATATTGGGACGTATACATGTTGCCAAGTGAAAGGAAATAATAACATCACAATACATTCAGCAACAATCATCAACTTATCATAATCTGTAGATATATAAAAAAATTAATAAATAACTAAAATTTATAATAAAATATTAGTACCCAGAATTTTTCAAAAACATCTATTACTAATGAGCTATGTTAGTTAGTAAAACAAAACCTTTAAAACAAATTCAGGAAAAAATATTGGAAGATGTACATGTGCATCCAATATTTAAAAATTTCATGTTCATGCAACTTATAAGTTGTATTATAAAACAAAACCGGCTTTGCTTACAGTTATCTAATGCTATTGATATTTTTCTCAAATCGCTATCTAATTTTAGTTTATATCAAACTTTTAATTTTTTTGAAAAGTATTTTTAAAAAATGAAAACCATAACATGAAGCATAAATAAATTCTTTAAAAAATATTAATATACTTATAACAATTAGAATTTTAACAGAATTTAATGTCTAAATAAAAGATAAAAGGAAAATAATATACATTATTTACCTGCAGAAAAAAGGAGAACTTGATTTTCTAAAAGAACACTGGTATATAATAATATGACGTTATCAACTCCCAATGTGGAAAAAAGAGTTTGATAAGAGTACTCAAAAAACGGAAGTTCACATGGACCTAAAAAAATAATTTTGATACTTTTAAATTGTGAAATAATCACATAGTACTTTAAGACATAATATACCTATATAATTTCAATTCATACCATATGAATATTTTAAACATAATAAATGTATTCAAAATACTTACAAATATTATAAATATATTAAAATAACTAACTGCCTAGAAACTTCAAAAGATAAAAAGTCTTTAATCGAAATAGTCTACAGTCAGGACCAGATGTCAATAAATTTGTTGATAACCTTAATAAAGGCATAATAAAAAATTTTGCAAGAAAAAAATGTTAGTTAAGCATCTTGCTACCAGAAGGTGCATTTGAAAGATTGGTAAACAGTGTCAAGAAAAGAGCTTTATTTGATCATCAAGATCATCAGTGCAGCTTTGCACAATAAACAAAATCCTTTACTTTCAGAAATTAGAGATACACAATGTAAAATGAACAAAACAAGTTACCAATTTATATAGAAAAGTTTGTCGCATCAATAATAAGGTAATAAAAAAAAGATGCCAATTTGGGATATTAGAAATGGAATGCTTTATTTTACGAGTATAAATTTTTGAATCATTTGAATTTCAACAACAGTTAAAATATTGTAAGGACTTTCAAAATATAAATAATTACCTGGTCTTTGGCACAAAACTTGCTGACCAAAACAAGTAAATTTTAAACTTCGATTAGGAGGAGGAAGAGGCACCTCAAATAAAATGTTGTACACATAAGATTCCAAACTATGCATCAAAAATTGAAAAAGAAAATAAACATTATATTAAGCATAAAAAATATTTTATGAAAAAAATGAACAAAATTTTTTAACACATTCTTATTAATCACATAATTTTTATCCAGTTTTACTCAATAACAAGCTACGTTAGCATTGTGCGATGCAATTTATAAAGTTAAGTTTAAGAATTATGAAGCATTAAACAAGAAAAAAAACTGTAATGATTTAACACTGCTGCATTATCAACAGAAATCCTAATTTTATATCTTAAGAATTTTTTTTGTAACATATTCTTACGAATTAATTTATAATATGACGCAAATATAAACATGGTAGAACCTTGATTACTTGAAATAATTGAGACCGAATTTATTTTAGATAAGCAAAATCTTCAGATTATAACAGTATATCATAATAATTTACATTTATGAAGAAACTTTGAAAATCAAGATAATTATTTTTTAATTTATTGTACATTTTATTTAATTTTAATATGAACTTTTAATCAATTTTTTTGTATAATAAACTATTAAAAGAGACATTTTATATCTATATTTTAATACAATGTTAGTATCTACAGGGGTAGAAATTAAAAAATTTCACTGGTCCTAAAGACCAGTAACGAAAAGATATTACTACTCCATACACATTCTATATTAAAATTGTTTTTTTTCTAACGAAAGTAACAATGTGAATTTATAATACGGAGAATGTGCAATGTCCTAATTATTATAAAATATGCTTTTTCGTAGAAAGAAACACAGATCAAAACATGAAACTGTAAATCAAAACACTGTATCATCCATTCACAATGATAACTGGCCCAGAGGACCACTGTAATGTTGTTGCATCACGCTTGCATTAAAATTTCAACAGCATAACTTGATTACCTTAGTTTCCCTTTCACACACCCAGGGGACCACTGTAATGTTGCCGCATCACACTTGCATCAAAATTTCAACAGCATAACTTTATTAACTTAGTTTCATAGTTTTCATTAGAGTAATAAACTTACTAGCTCACATTAATTTATTTTTCTCAGATTTATTCATTTTTACCATATTGGCATTTAAATTCTTAATTGATATCTTTATATTGATTTTACTTAGCTTAACTGCAAACAAGAGAAAGTTAGCCGACTTCGGCATGCCTGCTTGCTCCGGCATCTTTTCTTAAAGAATCAACCTTTTACATACAATTAAACTTTTAAAATAATTCATGTTTTAATTAATTCATTCATGCAAGGCGCTTCCTCGCAGAAAAAGGCACAGAAAAGGCAGGAAGGAGGGTAGGGTACGTAACCAAATTTTTCAACAAAAAATAAGCACCTTTTAAGTACTTTTTAAGCACTCAAAAAATATTTTTAAGCACTGTACACAAAATGCAAATTAATTTTCAGACTTTACATGCTTAACATAAAATAACCAGTTTCTGACAAAGAACTCTTTGCTTGGTTATATTAGCCATTATAAAAAGGTCAAGAGGTTTTTCAGTTCGATATCAGAGGGTGGAAAATGATGCCCGAAGTTGAGAATATCTTACAAAATGCATGAGAATGCAAGAATCTCACCGAACCCAGCTCAGTATATACATTGCGGAGCCACAAGTATTTCATCAAAAATATTAAGGGATTGGTGCTTTCATACGATATGGACCAACGGGACGTCGAAATAGATTGTGGTTAAATGAACTGTGAAAACGTTGAATAGAACAATGTGAAAAGCACGTTTTTGAATAATATGAGGCGAAAATCGATATGGTCAAGAAAAAAATTTAATTTTGGAAAAGGGAAAATTAAGAACTTTTTTGAAACATCCAATGAAAAAAGCACCTTTAAGGGCTTTTAAAAAATGAAAATAAGCACCTTTAAGCACTTTTTAAAAACGCTACACACCATGGAAGGGCTGTCCTTCTAAAAACACTAAGGGAGGACACTGTGTAATGACTTGTGAAAAGTTTTAAAAAAATTTTTATGTAAAATTCAAACAAAGTTTTACTCTTAACTCTAATAAGAATTTTTTAATTACAATACAAATCTAAAATTGAATGAAGCAAAAGATAAAAATAATCAATACATAAAAAGAATAATTAGAATTTTGAGTTTAAAAGCAGTTATTATGAAGAACATGTAAAAAGCTATATTTAGTAGAAGATATTTTTTCCCCGTCCTTTGAAGTAAATTATGATTTTATCATAGTTCATAAAAAAATTTATTAAATTATCACCGTTTCACATAAATACATTTTTCATTTTGGATTATTTTAATATATCCTGTGAAGATACATTGTAGAGGTTAAAGATCAGTAATAACATATAAGTCAACCTATGGACTTATACTTCGAAATTTAAATACAAAAGAATCTAAGGAGGCATTTCATACAAAAAAATATAAATCATTTATAAATTCATAGATTTTATTTAGCTTTTTTAAACAAGACTTTGTACATGTTAAACATTAAAATAAAATACTTAGAAAAAAAGTAATATAATAATAGAGTATACCTCATGGCAGGTAGATCCCTGGTCATCACCTGGTTATGAAGACCTTCAAGAAACTTTCGGCAAGTCACAACCACAGGAAGTTGCGTTATTAAACAAATACATTTTGTAACAAACAAAATATCCCTTGACAAATCAAACAATGCACCGGAATGGTTATGTGATGATTGACGATTATTAAGCTTAAAAGAGCGAGGAAGTGAGCGAGTACTGCCAACATCAGCAATGCCATGGACACCTGGTACTTTACTACTGCTTAATTCAGTTAAGTGCATAGCCTAAAATACAATTAAAAGTTAAGCACTAATTACACTATAACAGATAAAAAATAAGTGTTTATATAAAGTTTTTATATAAATAGCTATTGAATTGAAAGCATGTTAAAAGAAATACACCAAAACATGCAAATAAAGTTGAATTAATAACATAATTTAAGTCTTAAAATGTAAAGAAGATTACATTTAAAGTGGATCATATGGGTTTTATAAATTCTTAGCAAATAATGAAAAAAGTGAGTGATCACTTTTTGTTATCATTACTTTTTTATTCAAATAGATAAGTATTCATTTAATGATGTATTGCAATCTATGACTAATATTAAAGAATATATAAGTAAAAAAAAGGAAGAAAATATACAGCAAAATACTTTGTAAATATTTTATTATTAGTCATCAGATTGCCATTATCTTTATAATTAAAATTGGCAGGCTATTTTAGATACTTTGCTATTATAAAATTTAAAATTTGATCTGTGTAAAGAATAAAAAGCATTTTTTTTTATTAAGAACAGAGATTAACAAAACAAAAAAGTGAAAATAAATTAAAAGACTTTTGTTTTAATAACACAGAAATATCATTACATTTTAATAGGATTCTACACAAATTATCTATAAAAAAAAATTAATTTCTAAATTGAATTATTATTACTCTTCAACAGGGGTGCAGATTATGTCCGATTGCACAAATAAGGTTCGGGACAAATTCAGTCTACTCAGGAGGAAATTTTTGGTCATTTTTTCTATAAAAATGAGGCTAATCTTTTAATGTAATAAAAATGCTTAATTTAAAAAAAAAAATTGGAACAATATTTCGTTAAATAAGGCATAATAAATATGGAAAAGTTATCATTTATATATCAAAATATACATTTTTAGTTTTTATTTTAACACACAATTCCTCATGCCAAATCAACTTACTGTCTAAAAAGAAAAATAATATTTTTTGGTAAGTTTAATAAAGCATAAATAATGGAATACCTCAATTTCTTTACATGTTAGTTTGAATTTCTTAAGCTTATGAATAAGACTACAAATTTAGTTTTATGAATTATTATATATATCAATATATACCCTATTTCAATATATTTTGATTTCTATTATTTTTTACACAAATGCTATTTTATTCAAGAATTTTGTAAAAAAAATTATTATTATTTTTTCTTTTTTTTGTAAAATAAAAAGTCATTATCAAAGAATTTTAAGAATATACAAACTTTACTTTCTAAAAATATTTTTAAAAGTTATAGAAACTATAAAAAGCACTATAATTTTGGGAGAAATTTCAAATAAACAAAATTTGCTAAGGGAGAAATAGTAGATCTTCAAAAAATTTCTGTGCCCCTGCTGTTTAATGGAGTTTTAACATAAAAAGATGTCATTGCCTTAGCTCATTACAAGTGAATAAATCTGTTATTTTTTGTTATAACACACTCAGCAAGTTCATTGCAGCAGATAAAACTGAAACTTGATCATACAAATGCCAATTCTAAAATACAAACAAATATAGAATGCTTTATATTAACAATAGAAAATATTATTTGACAAATTTGCATCAAATTCATAGGAAAAAACGACAACATGAAAGAGTCATTCACATTATATGTGTCAGCACAAATATTAAGATAGAAGCAAAACAGCTAAAATTAACTAAAAAGAATGAAATTTATACAATCTTGGGGGCAACACTCCATTTACAGGGTGGTTACAAAATGCTGTTACAAAGAATCATTTTATTGTACAGATATTAAATAGAAAATGATAAATTACAAACTATGATGAACACTATAAATGGAAGTTTATCTTAAAAATATTTATTTGAATTGACCACCATTATCAACGATTACTAAAAAAATAATATCTTAAGCCATTGTCTGATAACAGCACGAATCACATTAAGAGGAAATTTGTCCCATTCATGCAATCAAGAAGCTCTGTGAGTGTCTAAACCTCTGCGCTGCTTAGCATTAACTATAGACAGAGTCCCCCTAACACAGTAGTCTAAAAGATTTAGATCCGATGAAGAAGAGGGCCACTCGTCTTGCTTAATAAATTTCGAACAATTGATATGGCGCCATGCCTGTGTTGTTTTGGCTCGGTGTTACTGAGTAGAACTTTGGTGAAATATCCACTTGATTTTGTGATACACTCTGTCACTACAACACTATAGCCCAAACCCTTACAGAATTTTTGTTCTGAAAGCATTACACAGTTTGTACACTTTCAGGTATATCATCAAAGGGTGTTGCAATATACAATATTATTTTTAGCATTATAACTTTGCTCGGTGGAAAATATTTTCTCATCAGAAAAGATTATTCTGTCAACACTTTTGTTACCGGGCTGGTAAGGCAATTTCTTACATTTTTGTAACCTTTTTAATTTTTCTGCAATTGTCAAACCTTGAACTTTTCTTTTGCGATTAGGGCAAAAACCCAGGTCTTCCTTTAATATAACTTGCAGAGTTCTCTGACTCATGTTCTCTTCAGCAGCCATTTTATTAACAGAGCATTGTGGATTCCTTCGTATCTCTTCTTGAATTGTTTTAATGCGCTCTTTTGTAAACTGAACGCGGACGACCAGATCTGGATCGATCTTAACAGCTATAAGTGTCTAATAATCGATTTATAGTTCTATATATAAATGTTTTATTAAACATAAGAGATTTTAATTGCTTGAAGATTCCACTGCAGAAAATATGCGATCAAAAAGCTGTTCGTCTGCACTTATAGAAAGTGCCACACACAAGAATTGGGAGAGAAAAATTGTTTCACTAAACGATTAAAATTAATTCCTATTTTTTTTAGTGTCACAGTGTTTAATAACCACCATGTAGGAATGTCGCATTCGCAGGCTTGTAACTCAGCAGCAAATAACTCAGTTAAAAAAAATCAAGCAGTTCTAGTCATTTTTAAGAAAATACGTCTTAGTGGGATTTACACTTACTATAACTTTTAATAATTTAACTTTTAATAAGTTTGAAAAACTTTTAGTTTCACAAAATTATTAGAACTGCTTGAATTTTTTTAACTGAGTTATATGTTTTTAAAGAATATTTTTTGAAATATGATTTATAAATGGGGGATTTGTAGCAGCATTATTTAATTTGAACCTGTAAACAATATACAGAAATTAATTCTTGATAAAAGAATTAAAGAAAAATTAAACATTTTAAAATTTTTATACAACTTTAATGATATGTATTTTTTGTGAGATTTTTCAAAAATATAATACCTGAAGAGTATGCATGGCATCACATATTTTCCTATCATTGACCTCTTCATAGAAAGTAAAGCATTGACCATATGTTCGGGAGCCATCTTCCTTAGTTATAATGAAAGAATGGAAATATGGAGCACGTTTGTGTTTTTGCGAGCGAAATGTAAGCCCTTTTGGCAAGCACAGCTAAAAAACAATAGAAAAAAAGTAAAGCACTAATATTTGTTTTAGTCATACACTAATAGTACAAATATGGGACTCACAATACTTATTGGTTATAAATATAGAAATCATGTTTTAGCATTAGTTTTCCAAGTTGTCTCCAACTCAGCACTAGTTTCCATATTCTGAACTTGAAAATTGACATGCATTGCCAAATTGTCAATATTTATAAATATAAAGCTATATTTCTCAAATTTATTATTTTTACACAAGGAATTTTGTTACCCAAATAAAATTTATCAACACTCTTAACCCTTTCGAGCCGACTGTCACATATATGTGACAGCAAGAAACGCGCTCACTTCCCGGCCGACACACCCGCGTGTCAGAGAGTTTTCTCGTTCACCCCCGACCGTCACATATTTGTGCCAGCGTTTCGGAACGTTTTAAAAAATGAAATTTCTTCCAAAAGATGGCATTGTATGTCCTTATGGTTTCAGATACATGTAGATTTGACCTTCTACTCAAGATGAAAGTACATTCACGTGGTTTTTAGGGGAAGGAGAGGAGGGGGGAATGTTTTATGAGGGCTCTTTAAATTAGCACGTGATATTTATTTACAGTAAGTAAGGGAGTTTTTTTTATCTCTCGCTACTTTCGATTTTCGGATTAGTTTTTAGTGGATAATTAGATCTTGTAGGCTTGAATTTTTTTTCTTTTTACCGTTAGAATGTCGAAGCGTCGAAAATTTTTAACTGAGCTGGAAATAGAGGAAATTATGCGAAATATTTAAACTTATTAATATTTATATTACATTTAAACAAGAAATAACTTAAGTAAATAAAGTATCCATAGAAATATATATAAAGCATATGTCACTTAAATACTCTACAGAACAATATTAAACAACTCGCTGATATTTCGGTAATTTCATGGAATTAGGCTTAACATCGAAAAACCCTCCGGCCCTGGGGAGACACACGCTAGAGAGACTGCCGGCCTCAGCGGTAAGCGGGCTTTCGCGCTTTGCGTCGCGAAAGGGTTAATAATGCCATATTCAATAATTATTGTATGTATTCTCAATATTATATTTTTGATATGTTATACTATTGATAAAGATTTAATTGTATTTCCTAATTATGGTTTTTCATTGATGCTAGCAATTTTGCCATGTTTTATATATCTATATGTATTATTGATCGTCAGGGTCAGCTAGAATCTGACAATGTTTCTACGAGTTGACCAATTTGGCTTCATAGTCCCTAAATAATCAATAATTATTCAACACACTTTTTGTTTAAATTCAACATTATTTATGTTATTTAAATTCTCAAAAGGAACGATAGAGATGAAGATAAAAAAAAATGGTTGATGTTAATGATATTGCCAATAGATGGGACTTTAGAAAATGATGTACATTAATTAACTCAGATATGGCACTATTGGCTCTTGAAGTTATTGGCACTATTTCTTTAACTAAACGCTATTTTGATATAGAGCATAATTATAATTTTCCCAGATTGCACACAACTTAATTAAAAATTTACTTACAGAGACATACAATCAAAAGATAATCAAAAGTTATACAAATAATTTATGAATTTGGAAATACTACCTCACATTGTTGAAAAAATATGTGTTCTGAAATTAATAAAGATGATTGTGTCTATTTGCATTACGGATTCCTTTGAAGATTTTGAAAATGTAATTTTGATGTGAAAGAAAGATAGAAAAATTGTAAAGTGCAAGGTAATAGTAATAATGAAGGTTAGATATCCCCATGTCGGTCGCAAAAAAAAATAATGTTTAAAAAATTTAGAACATGAATTTAATGCATTACACTCTTATAAATTACATTATAACACTGTATAGTAACATTGCTATAATATTTTGCGGAAATTTTGCTTTTAATTTAATTTTGTGTAATATTTTGTTTTTGTGTCAGAATATTTTGCGAAAAACTACTGTAGCAAATAACTTTAATGGCAAATTAACTTTTTTTTTAAATGTTTTATTGAATTGAATAAATGTTAAGAATTCTGATGCAGACTGAAAAAAAAGTACGAAATCTATCTCTCAAAAATAAAAATGTTATGAATTAATAATTATTTTAAAGAATTGATGCAGCTTCTGCATTAGTTTGCATTATCTCGTGATGTACAGATCCACTGATAACCTAGGATTAGCAGTCTATTATAATAATTATTACACACACGCATGTACATATACATCTCTAAAAATAAATTTTGCCTTAGGCCCTGCTTTTTGTTGGGAAACCCTGTTTTGAAAAAATCTAAAAAAATAGAGAGTCGTCCTAAAGTATAGTGCACTCACACATTATTAATGTTGATGTTAATTAGATAAATATGTTTGCTTACCATGCCCACTGCACTTTTGTCAAAAGGATTCCATGGCACATTTTCAGGATAATGTGATAAAACTTTTGACCGATAAGGTCTATCCAATGGAGTACAGTGCAAACTTTCACCTAAAAACAAATAAAAAAATGAATTATATACAAGGTTAAGTTTATAACATGCCAGAGGAAAAACTTTCAATAACCTACTTTTTTTCTTATGGTACATCGAACAATAAATTTTTTAAGAAAATTTAGAACATTATGATTGCTATTAAGAACACATATAGTTACATATTTATTTTAATATGTTATTAAATAGAAATGATAAAAAATAAGTTTATAAAAATAAAGGATTTTAAAGATTTTATTTTGTTGCTGATATATCCATACAGCATTGATATTTTTTACAATACTTTTGTATATAACTTGAAATATTTATCTAAAATTTTTAATTAACAATGAACTAATTAAACAACCACTGTTATCCTGTTGAATTTTAGCTTTCATTTAATTGAAAACTCACATTAATGCAAAACACAATTATACATAAGACGGCATTTTTAGTAATCAGGGTCACTGTGTCACAGGGTCGCATGCAGGAGCAAGTGACCAGTTCAGCACTGTTTTAGTTACTTAGTTATAAAAATCCATTATCATATTTTGTCTAATAATTGTAAGTCATTTTTGTCAAATATTTTTTACAACTTTTAAATAAAAATTAAAATTTTATGCTTTAAAATTTATTTTTTCTTCTAAATTTTAAATAATTGAACTAACATGAAAATCCAACGTCACCAAAGGTGAGGGTTTTTGAGGTCTTTGACGAAAAGGTTTTACACAATACCCTGATAGTAAAAAATATGGCAAAAAAATTATCATGTGTCCAAAACTTACCAATACGATTAGATACAATAGTTTCAGATCAGGAGGGCCTTCAATCAGTGTCCAAACATAGTCTAAAACTAGTTCTGTGTTTGGACATTGATTCGTCATTATAGAACCAAAATTATAGCAGAGCATGAAATATCATTCTTAAAGTACTAGCCAGACTAAAATTTTTGCTCCTACTATTTTCATGAAAATTTATAAACAATTTTCAAAATTTTAACAAAGGCAGTACGAAAAACTTTTTGGGGAGATTTCCATATTGTGATCTACGGCAGAATAATTGCCAAGCCATGGCAACTTCCGGGCAGCAGCCAGCGAGAAAATAAAAAACATCACAGAAAGGGACCAATTCAAAAGGAGTAACTGGTAACCATCCCTGGGAAAATATTGGTATGTTTTTTTTTTTCAAAAAAAATTTACAAGTTTAAATACGGAAATATCCCCAACTTTTTGTTCATTAAAACCATAGAAGAATATAAAAACGAGAAACAGCTGAAAATCACAGATATCAGTTTTAAAAAAAAAAGATGTTAACAGTTCGAATGTTATCGACATATTATTAAAAATGATTAATAGATAAAGAATGTTAGAAAAATTAAGACATCAGAAATTTTCTTGTAATTTTAACACTTCATATTTGTATACCAATGCCTTTTGATATTCAACAATTTTTTCTTTAGAAGGCCAATCCAAGGTTTTCAAAGGTGCCAAAACATGCAGAGGTGTTAACACATCTGGTGACATAAATTGCAGTTTTTTTGTGATGCACATCTTTACATATTTAACTAATATCTCTCTTAAAGTCCGAAACTATTGCATTTTGCCCTACTTCAAAATTTTTTAATTATAAATTTTACGCTCTGACTATAGTATTTCTTCTCATGCGGTACTTTTAGTGCTTTTCTTAGCTTCAACCATACATTGCTGGACACGAAATTAACAGAGGTTTAGACCACTAAAATCTGGTTCGAACAACACAAAAAAAATTATCAGTGGTTTGGCAAAAAAAAAAAAAAACATGAGATAGAATTGATTTTTTAATCTGTGCTTTTGAAACATACTTCATTATAATTATTAAAGGTTCTCTTTACTTATTAAGATAATTTGCCTTTAATATTTTTTTTTAACATTTGATTTATGAATAAGCTATCAATGTAATTTTAATATTAAATTTCATTTTTCTTTTTTTTTTTAATTTGAGAGAGGAATGAGGAGAATGGACCAAAATAAATGTAGACAGATTAGTGAAATTTTACAGCTGGTTAAAAAAAAATTTTAAAATTTGGACCCCGTATTCTATTGGAACTTAATCTCGTTAAAAAAATTTATGTTAAATTATGTATTGTAAAAAAAATTATGTATCTCGTTAAAAAAAACAACAATGCAAAAATATTTTGATGGGGAAGAAAGCAGACAAATCAACAAATGAGGAAAGTTGTTCAAAGAAAAGTTTTAATAAGAGAAAATGATATTTAAACACATTAAAACGATAAGATAATAGAGGAACCCTATAACGATTTGTTTTACGATAAAACTGCAGAATTCTTAGTATTGTTTCTCAAGAGATAAAACTGGCACATCGAAATATTATTTATATTCTAAGCTGCACAATATAAGCACCATAAAAACTAAGTACTACTATTTTTATTCTAATATAAGGACAATTGCAAGCTATTTATAAAATGATAAAAAAAATATATACATGAAACAGAAACAAAAACATATAAATTTTTAACATTGACCGTAATCTTCATTCAGAGCAACACTAAGCAAATCAAGGATTTGCATGATATTCATAAATACCAATAAATATTGGGCCACAGATTCGTTAGAAATGAATTATTGTTTTTATAACTAAGTTGATTAATTTTTATCCCGTTTTAACAAAATAATACCTGCTAACTGATCTGGCTCCAGGCCAGAACACAAATCAAGTCCACATATAACAAAATAATCAGCCAATCGTTTATCAACCAGGGGAGGAGGTGAATCAGACATATTTTACTTATTTATAGTTTTTAAAGTCATCATGTAGTATTTTTTATAAAACTAACTAGCAAATCCTATAACACAACTCGCCATCTTGTTTACAGCCTAAACGGGCCTAAACAGAGGTTTTGAAACACATTTGCGCATGTCAATCACCCCCATGATTAAAATTGTTTATTGATGTGCGTCAAAAGGAAAAAAGCAATGTGCGATTCACGCAACCATTGGCGATCGAAATGGGCTGCAGGTGGCGTCGAGCAGAACTCTCTACCTATGGCAACACTTCACATGCTTTCCCCATTAGCATGTGGAAAGTCATAGAGAAAGGAAGTACATTAGTCTCTCTCTTGATTTTCATATATATATTAAGATCTTTTAAATTGAAAAACTATATGGAACTGAAAACTGCATTAAACATAGTTCTAAAGAAAAGTATCACGGAAATTTTAAAAAATATTTTTATTGAATAAAAGTCCCGCAGGCGACTGATCGTTAAGACACGGTTCTCATCAGATCACCGAAGTCAAGCATCACTGGCTGCGGTCAGTGTGCGGGTGAGTGACCCACTTGGATCAGTCTGCGTAGGGACCGAGGATGTGCGGTATTGGTCCTCGTTAAACTGTGCTACCGTAAAGTGCTCGACTTCGCGCGCAGGTCGTTGGGCTACCGAAGCGGGGGTGCCATCCCCTCTGCAGAGGATCAAAATTGTGATGGCATGTCTTCGGATCATCCTCAGGGATGTTTCCCAGACCGTCGCCAATAGCCCATTGTGCAGCTCTAGTGCGACGTAAATCAACAAAATTAAAAAATTATTGAATAAAAAGGGAAAATATCGTAGTACATTCCTATACAACTGAAAAGAGCTCTAAACTCGCAACCATTGAACGAGCTAGGGATAGAAAAATGACGTCATTTTTGCGTCACGTTTCTACTTCTAGCGAAAACCTGCAACCTCGCGCTTTCGAACGGATTTTGCTAACGGGCTGCGATCTTCATTTTTCCTCCCATCTATCGGATGTCTTTCACCTAACAATTTGCTGGTGAAAGCGATTCGAATAGGATGCATTTAACGCTGGGATTAAATTAGATTTTTGATTTCAAAGATAATTTATACCCACGTATTTTAGGATTTTTTACAAGCATTTACTTAGATATTTTATGAATATATTTCAGGCATCTTTTTTTCTCTCACAAATTTATTATTTCATATAATAAATCTTAAATAATTAGTTTCTTGAAGAACTTATTGTAAAATCTACAATAATCTTGCACAACTTTAAATAAAACGTGAAAATTTTTTTGTTCCAAATTTTTGCGTATTCTTCGCCATAATATGCTTAGTATAATTATTACCGTGCTTTTATTAACTTTTATTATAACTACCTTGTAATATTTTCAAAATATTCGATGAAAAAAATGCATCATAGTTTAAAGGAAAACTGGTTTTTTAGTAAAACTTTCCAATTTTTTCTTTAAAAAAATTGGTGAGTTATGACTGAGATTAATACAAAATAAATAAATAAGATTACTGTAACTAAATCGTATATAATAAAAATAAGAATTACTATAAATTGTATACTTATTTTCATCGTTTCCTGGTAAGTATTTTTTAGTTTTGAAAGAATTAATTTCAACTAGAATTCAGCTATTCTGTTTTTAGCTACATATTCAAATTCATATCAACTATAAAATTTTGCTGTGTAGTATGTTATCTAAAAGTAATGAAGGGTTAAACTATGTATCTATTATTGGAGAATAAAGTTTTCCAGCAAAGAACATATCATTTCGAAATTCTACGGATTTATAAATCAGGCAAGTGTAATCATTTTTAAAATAAAAAATTTGCTTTTAAATATTTTTTTTTCTCATTTGATGATAGTTCTCTGCAGAATGGTTTTTTACGTCTGATTAAGAACTATAAGAATAAAAAGAGAAACAATATGGAAGTTTCTTATTTCAATATGAGGAGTTTTTAAAATCGTTTTTTTATCCTAAGAATCCTTTATTTACCGTTTTTTAGTTTATAATTTTTTGATAAAATTGTTGTTAAAATAATTGTTTTGAAAAATTAAATGGTATAACATTACGTGTTGATGTATAATTCTTGTATAGTCTAATGTTTGAAATAATATGATTCAAAAAAGTATAGAATAAAAATTCGGTACTTACGTATTAATGCCACCGCAACTTCAGATTTGGCGGTTTTTAAGTGTCACCAATCTACACCTAAAATTTTTGCGGCAAATCATAAAATAAAACACTTTATTTAAAATCAAATAGTTTATCGGATTTCAGTGGACAATGGGCAAAATATTTCGCTCCTGAAAAAATAAAATTGCATCTTGTTCTATTTTTGGAAAATCCCAAAGACGCATTTTCGTAGCACTAAAAAATGGTAACAAAAATCGAAGAACAAATCATTTTGGAATTCTTCTGATTTATAAAGCTGGTAAGTGTTAATTTTTATAAAATAAAAAATTTTTCTTTTAAAAATTTTTTTTCTTATTTGATGATACAGTTTTCTATCGAATGGTTTTCTACGTCCGATTATGAATCAAAAAAGAAAAAAACATGAAAGTTGTTTATTTTAATGTAAGGAATTTTTAGAATTGGTTTTTTCTTTTTTGTTTTGTATCGTAAGCATTCTTTATTTTGCGTTTTTTAGTTTCTAAATAATGATTTTTATTGAAACTTAAAATTTTTTGATAAAGTTTGTTGTCAAAAAACTTTCTTTACAAAATTAAATTATATAAAATTTTGAAGTTTATGTATACTTTTTGCTTATTTTAATGTTTGAGGTAATATGATTCTTAAAACTATGCAATGTAAAGTTTAAATAGGCCTTTCAGGTTATATCATTAAATTTCGTAAAACTATTTCTCAGGCATTAGGTTTTAACTCTAATAAGAAGACACATATTTTTTTCTGTTTATTTGCAAATATTTTTCAGATGTGTTTCGGATGTTCCTTCTTTTAAAAAAAGAGATACCATCTTGTTTTCGGTTGCATAAGAAAGGATATCAAACATTTTTCTTTTTTAAATTTAATAAGCCACAATAAAGAAAGAACGTTACAATGCTACACGCTGCATTAAAGACGCCTCCAGAGTAACTGAATGACTCATAGAGAAATCGCATCGTTCATAGAGAAATCGCAGGTATTCGTCTCATACAACAACGCCCCCTAAAGTTCGTTGCGATCGCGAATAAAGTTCAAATAAATTTAGATGCATAATTAAGAAACTGTTTTATTATTTTTTTATTTTTCTGTTCATCTTTGAAAATGCGAAAATTTCCCCTTTTATTGTTTAAGACAAAACGATATTTTTACTCTTATATCTATAATACCAAAATATATTCGACAATATATTTTTTGAAAAATTATGTATTATTTTAGGAATAAAATTTGTTAAGATTTTTTTTCTTAATGACGGGCACTTGGAACTATTGTCCATTGGCCACAGAAAGTGCCAGAACTGCTAACTCTCTTTTCGTTACCCAGTGGCCACCTGTGGCGAAGCCACGGCGGTGGAGCAGCGTCGCTCACGTCACACTACCACAACCCGTTTATAGGGCGGGTCACATTCACACACAAAGGAGAAAGGACATAGAACACATATAGAGAGAAAGAAACATTCATGCCTTTCCCGGGATTCGAACCCAGAACCTTTCTGATGCAAGGACAGTTCCCTGCCCCCTACATAGGCCGGTCGGCAATTTGTTAAGATTAAGATTAAAAAATTTCTAAAAACACATTTTTAAAAAAAAATTTGTTAGAAATAGCATTAAAAAAAGTAATTAAATAAGAAAACGTTTTAGAGTTATTTCTAAATCTTCTGTTTGACCTTTTTAAAATACTTACTCTTTAATAAAATGGTAAATAACAAATTTTAGGGTGAAAAAAAACTTAAGCATAATTTTCTTTTCTGTTTTGAGATTCTCTATTAAATATCAGCTAAGTTATTCTAAAGATATTCACTTATATTCATTTGTTATTATTAGCGTAATTTGTTTTTATTCAAATAATACTTTAGATCATCTTAATGTATGCGATTAATTATCTTCAAAAGTTTTTAACGAATTTATGCGACGTATTAAAAAAGAGAATTTCTTTTGAATTACTTTCGCATACTTCATTTGCATACAGAATGGTAAATCGTAAGAAAAAAATATCTTGCTTCAATCAGAAAAACAATTGCGAGATTTTTTTTATTAAAAAGGCGTGCAATGAAAACTAATTGATATTTGCATCGTGTTAAACTACTAACATGAATTTGTAATAAAATAAAATCGCGAATAATATGGCTAGACCGACAGCAATGAAATTGTATAACTAAAAGTTTCATCTTCCAAAAGTTCTAACAAAGTTCTTACGGCTCGGCATCCTTGTCTTCTAAGATGGAGGCAATATAAGACCGGAATACAAAGAAAGGAAACTTTTTAAATAAAATTGTTTTTGAATTATTATAAAGTTGCTGATAAATTTAGATGCAGATTCAGATTTAGGAAACTTTTTTTTTATTATTTATTTCCTTAATTTTCCTGTTCTAAATATTCCAAGAGAAAATTACTTATATTTCTAGTTTTATAACTATAATAACGAAATATGCTCGAAAATTTGTTTTTTAAAAATTATGTAATATTTTAAGAAAAAAATTTGTTAAAATAAATATTAAAAAATTTCTAAAATCGCGTTGTTTTAAAAATTTTGCTTAAAAATTGTACTAAAAAAATGCTTGACTAAAGAAAACTTTTTAGTTATTTCTTAAACTGTTGTTTGACATTTGAACTTTTGAAAATACTTACTCTTGGTATTACAAATTTTAGGGAGAGAAAAAAATCAAGTTTAATTTTTTTCTCTGTTTTGAGATTTTTTAAAAATATTAGCTAAGTATTAATAATTAGCTTAGTATTTTTAATTTTTAAATATTAACTAGCATATTCTGTTTTACTCATTGGTCATTATTATACTAGTGCTTTATTGGTTTTATTCAAATAATATTTCAAGTTATCTTGATTGATGCAATTATGCTAATTCAAAAAGTCTTTTACAAATTTATGTGTCACTTAAAACAAATATTTTTCCGAATGACTTTTTCGTAATTTATTTACATACACTATGGTAAATGATAAGGCGAAAAAATAAAATTCCGCATCAAATATAGAAACAATTGAGGATATTTTATATTTGAAAATGTGTTTAATTGAAAGTATTAAAAATATTTGTAACGAGTTAAACTTCAAACACGAATTTGTGGTATAAAAAAAATCAAGAAATACCCATATGGTTAGAACGACAACAGTGAAATTGTGTTACTAAAAACTCTAACATGAAATTCTTAAATAAAGTGTGACTACTTGGTATCCTTGTCTTCTGAGTTGGGTTTAATGTAAGAGGGTAATGAAGGGCAAAAAAATTAATAGCAAAGAATTTTTTTCCAAACCTAGTTCAATATGACACAACGATTGAAAATGCAATTTTCCAAAAAGTGATAAATTATTAAATTTGAAAAATAATATTGCACTGTTTGTGTTGCGAATTGTAATTTATTATAAAAAATATTATAAAAGAGAAGAAAATAATGTTTTTTGAAAAACTAACGCGCAATTTCGTTTATTAAATGAATAAGTTTGCAATTTCGAAAAAAAGAAGAGTCATAACAAAAAAGAAAGTGAAAAATTGAAAAGGCAGTTTTTTTTAAAATTGTAATGCAAATTTTTTTCTGATTATTTAAACTAACAATTATTTAAAAAATGCTAATTTGAAGTTTATTTCATGCATTCTACCTATTTATTAAAACTTATTTATTGCGCGTTATTTTGATACTTAATGTAACTTTAAAACTAAAAGATTTTAGTGGTATAAAGCTACGCATTTTATCAATTGCAAATATAAAAAAAATAATTATAAATAATAGAAGGTAATAAAATAATCATAAATATAATAAAAAAAATTTAAATAATAAAATAAGTAAAAATAGAAAGTTAAAAAATTTAAAGTTTCATAATCTAGTAATGAAATTTCTGAATGAATCAATTACATTTATTTTAAAAAACATTCAAAGTATGATTTTTAGAAAAAGTAATAAAGATGTATTTGATTTGTAATCTGATGCTATTTTTTATTATAAGAATATTTCTTTTTTTCGCAAACTGTTAGTAAATATAGTTATAAGTGAATCGATTCTCTAATAATAAATACAATAATGCAAACAAGTTTAAAACAAATACTACATATTAAATTCTTGAAGAAAGATCAAAGATAAACAACTCTGTGAACTCACACATCGTTGTTTCGAAAGAGGTCACGACCCCCAAGCAGAGGGAGAACGATTAAAGGATAAACAAAAGCCATTGGTCTCTTTCTTCTTAATATCGATACAAAACGTCACTTCTTAGTGGGAGGGTCCAAACTTTTTTTCGAGGGCTTGGGTTCCCCTCACCGCTCCCCCCGGGGGTTGCGAGGTTAGGATTTTGTTTTACTATCGAAAGGAGGTATAGAATAGACTCAGGGGAATAGTGACGTCCCCGTCCGTGTTCGAAGGCTGCAAGTTTAGGGAGAGGGAAGGGAGAAGGACAACGGGTCTCTCCCCAGATGGCGTATTCGCCATCTGGGGAGAGACCCGTTGTGATCGCCAATTCAATCGCTCGCACAAATCCACAACCAGACATGCGGCTCCATACGCAAATGCAGTGAAAATAATCCTTTAATGACAACTTATCAAATATCGTGAGATTTCCTTTCGAATTAATTTTAAAATAAAACTTTAAATGGTTTTATTGAAATTTTTAATAGATTTATCTCAGTTTTCATTGATTAATGTGGTTGAGTTTCGCGAACGGAAATGATGTAGAAAAATTTTAAACCTTAAATTGGCAATATGTTTAATGATAGATCTGAGTTGTCACTAGTGCTATCCTCCGGTAGCAGACGTAATTGATGTTTATGTTGATATTTTGAATATTGTACAGTTTTTCTCAATAAGGTGTGTAATTTGTGCTAAATGAAAATCGTTTTTTCGAAAATATCCAAGTTTTTAATATCATTTAACTTTGAAAGAGCAAACTTCTAGTATATATTCCTGAATCCTGCATTGTTTATGTTTGTGAAATAATTGTATTCTTTACAATCCATCTTGATTTGGTTCTATTAATTATCAGTCTTGTAATAGATTTTTTCTTTTCTTTTCAGGAAACCAAATTACTTGGTCTTCAGGAATTTAAAATTGAGAAGTGCCTTGTAAAATTTGAAAAATAGCAAGGATTTTATAAATACTAAAATGGTATCCTAAACAATTTTTGTCTTTTATTAATTTAATTTTTTAAATATTTAGTCTATTTTTGAGAATATTATATTTTTATCATGTTAAGTTCAAGTTAAAAATGAGTTTAAAAGCGCCTGCTGCTCATATTTAAAGGTTTTGTGTAATAGTTAGCACGTTAATTTATGAGAAACAGGAATTAATAAATTTTGACGTATCTTCCACAGGGCCCACACTGAGAACTTTAAATTATTAGCCAAGTATCAAAAGTATTAGCAAATTTCAAAATTCTGAGCTAAAGGCAAATCTTAATTTTTTTTTATTGCTTTTTCACATGTAAATCTCTAAATCAAAATACAAATTTACTATAAAATTAATTATTTATAAAATTCAAATCAAGAAGAGTTTAAAATTTTTTAAAATTCAAATCAAGAATCAAAAGGAGAACTTGAAGAGCAGTAAAGGAGCAATGAATGGGAAAGAGGATGAAAAAAGTTAGGTATTGCTTTATCATCATATGGGAAAAGAAATAGGAATGGGTTAATTTTTGATCAAGGGTTAACTTTTTATACTAGAGCAGTATTATAAGGTTACACCTTTGGCAAGATTATATTATTGTCATATGAAAGCATAATTCTGCATAAATAATTAGATGATAATATTCATCTTGTTACCACTTAATCTGTTTTATTGACGCAAACTGTAGGAAAATATTTCGTCTCGTAATCTGTTTTATTGATGCAAACTGTAGGAAAATATTTCGTCTCGTAATGTTGCATGATCCGACAATGACCGTGATATTCTGTATTTTACAGTAGTTTGTCTAATGCTTCTAAGCTTACATAAATATAATTTTAATTGGTTATGCAACGTGTATCTAACTGAAAATACTGTAATTGAATAAAAAGTAGAATTGAGGGGAGTATATATATATTTTTTGGTCTAAAAAATAATTCGTGAATACTTTTGCCAAAACACAAGTATTTTAGTAGTATTTTAGATTTTAACGTATTTGCGGAGCTGGTCAATGCTTAGCTTGGGATTTGTTCTAATGATTCAATTTTATTTTATTAAATGATTTCAATCAAATTTTTGTATTGGTGCCAAGTTTTGTCGACGACTCCGTAGTGGCAAGAGATAAACTGGAAATAAATAAATTAAAATATCACACAGTGAGAAATGAAACTTTTTTAACATGCAGCATCTTTATAAGATTTAAAATTATCACTTAAGATTGTAGTTTTGCAATGTTAGTCAGCAAATGTAATACTTGCACGTATTCTATGTTTTCTACATAACATAACTATGAAGCATAAATTATAGAGGTAAATGCAGAGTAGCCACAGAAAACTCAGAGATTTTTACTGATTCTGAAAAGCTAGGTAAATGAATTAAAATAATAAAGTCAGGGAAAAAGAGTTCTTTTAGTTCAAGGTACATTAAAGTCCAAGAATCTTACAAGAAAATAATCTTCAAATATTTTTTTAAAATTAATAAGATTCTAATAGCAAGTATAGCAAAAATTAATAATAAAATTTATGTCATCAATTACTAAATTCAGAGAAATTCTATAAAATTACTCAGGAAAAGTAGAGGAATTTTTTTTTCTGAGCAATTGTAGCCATCCTGTAAGTGGTAAAAATTTAAGCATAGTTAATACAATCAAACTTAAAATTCATCCAGTTCTTTTTTAATTTATACAAAAGTATTAATATAAAGTAAAAAGAAGAGTTTTATAGCAATACCTGCACCAAAAAGATCTCAGAAAGGATCTTCTGGAAATAGCAACTTATATTTTTTTTAAATTTGGCAAATATAAAAAACCTTTTGCATCTTAGCTTTGGTAGTTGGCACAAAGAAACAGGCGTTGATATGGAAATATCCCCAATATTTATTCATATATATACCATCGTATTTATTAATAACATAAATTAGTTGTTACTGCATTTGAAGATAATGATGGGTGAGCAAACTGCTCATTACATAACTTTCCATATTGTTTAGAATTAATTTTAGAGTTTTACTTATTTTTAAACATAAAACTGTTCTAATTTTTTCAATTTCTCAATAAAAAATTTCAATTTTTTTAGAAAATAAAAATTTCACATTGTATACTTTTACTTCAATTGAGATATTTATGTATTTATTTTATCATTTTTTGTTTAAGATATTGTAAAAGGGTACTAATTTTCTAAAAATGTTAACTTTTACCGAAGACAATTTGGTAAAATTCATCTCTTAATTAATTTAAGGTTGATAATAGACCATACATTTAAGTATACTAATCAATGACCAGCAATCAAAAAACTTTTTTAAAAAATTTTGACACTTTTTGTAATTACGAAGAAAATTATAATTATTTCACTTAGACGCTTTAAGAAACACATGAAGAAAATATTCATTTTTTTTTCTATGAATTAGTAAGAATAGAAATTTTTTTATAATAATATCTAATTTAAAATTTTATTAATATTTTTTAAGAAAAGGAATTATAACTAGAATTTTGAACTTTGTATTGTTTATACAGAGTTCTCCCTAGGAATAGAGAAAGGGAGGGTAATTTAAAATTAATATGTGATAATGTAACCCAACAAATCAGGCAAAATAGTTTTTCAAAAGTAAAGTAATCATAGACCCATGAGTAATTATTGTCCCCTTTAAGTTTATTTTAGGTGGGGACAGTAATTGCAAAACAGTAGTTTTTGCCAAATAGATGAAAAACTTGTTTATTTCTTTAATTAAACTATCCATATTTTTTAAAGTAAACTTTTACATTTTGTACAAATAAATTTTTTTTTACTTGCTGGCAATTTCTTAGAAGAAAATTAGAGGGGCAGTAATTACATTCAATAAAGTCATCCATTGATTTTTAAAGGTGAAATAAAGTTTATTGATCCTAAATGAAATGGTTCTACTATTGAACTTGACTATTTTGTAGAAAAGAGTGTACTTTGAAACCTGTAAGTTATATTTTATTGATATAGAGCCATCTATAGTGTTTTATTGGCGCGTTTCATACTTGCGATAGTAATTACACAGAAGTACTTTTACTTCTGTGTTTTTACGTTACGTTTTAGAAGAACATGCAAACTTATGCCTAGGACAAAATGTACAAATTATTCTAATAATATTGATTGTACATTCAAGTACATGCATTTGCCACTATAACACTTTCATTATCTAGTAAATTACTTAAGTTTAGATATGTGTGTTGGGGATAAGGGTCAGTAATGGGGATAATACAAAATGTGTCTGGTGCATAAATCTTTTTCTTGTGAGTATCTTGAGCAAAACTTACCATTGAATAGTGAGAATAAATATTTTAATGTTTATATTGCTTAAGGTTGCAAAAGTTAACAAGAAAATTACCCATACATATAAGTCTCTTTATTTTAACTTATGCCATTTATTTTCATTTTATGAGAATAATCAAAAATTAAAAATATAAATTTATGTTTATTAAATATAATAAGCTTATTTGTACCATAAATTACAAGTTATTTTTTATTCATGATTTAGGTTCTCCTTGCGGCAAGTGTTACTACAAAGTCTGGAAAAGGTGACTTTGATTAGTTTTTTTTTCATTAATTTTGTTCTTCAATTTTCTTAAAAGGATAGTTTTTTTTCTTTTTCTTAAAAATAGAAGGAAAGTTGGAAGATAATGCAGAGAATAGAAAAAATATATGATTTTGGATTTACTTACTTGTATACACTGTTGTAATTAAAATACTGCTGTTGTAATGAAGAAATGAACTATAAAATTTAATAAAATAATATGCATAAATACAATTCTTAATTAAATGTAAAAGTAGTAGAAAAAATGTCTTCAAAAAGTTTTACTTCAGTTAATCCAAAATTCTAATTCTACTACATTTTTTTTTTTAAAAAGAATTGTTGATTGATATTTTTTTTCATTTATTTTATCTGTTATTCAATTTTTCAAAAATTTCACAGAGCTGGTTTTTTTTTTTTAAAAAAAAAAGAAAAAACTTACTTATCAGGTGTTTTATCAAAATTTTTTTTCGAAATTTTAAATTTTTATTCCTAATTTCATGTTATAGTTTAATATTTTTATTAGTTTTTTTTATGACATTGCAAGAAAAAACCTATATCTTATTTAAAAGTGCATGTTTTGTTGCAATGCATTAATTTTTTTAAATGGTTTTTGATTGTGACTCACAATTTTTTTCTTCTTAATAATAGATAGTAAGTAGTAATTAACGTTTCATTAATCAAAGCTTTTATTGTATCCACACAAATATTGTACCCAAATCTTTTGGGATGAAATATAAATTTAATTAATTTTTTTGGTTACCATTGCAACTTTATTTACTATTTTGTTTTTTAAGTTTCCACTTAATTCTTGGTTAATATAATAACTTGATAAATATTTTTCATCAAGTGTGTTATTTAATGGAATGCAGAAAGCTCATTCCGAATAATATTTAGAATTTGGTATTCATTATTTTAATTACATATGTTAAATGAAAACTGTTTCACATGTGCTTTCACATGAGCATAATCAAAGTTAATATAACTTATTTATTGATTTATAATTGTAAAATGGCTAATAAGTGTTAAACCATCTTAACTATGTTTATCATAAAATGTTGTGTAATAAGTTAAAAGCACCAGAATACTCCTTTTTGTTTTAAGCCTTTAATTTTAAATAATATTCAAAATTGATATAAATACTACCAGAAAATATAGGTATATAAGGAATAATTAGTTAACACAAAATGCCTAGATACATTGTTTGCTAATTTTATGCTGATGAAAACCAAGGAAATGTAGATATTCTTTGCTAATTTGGAAAACATGTTATGTGGTTTTATAGTCTCGCTCAAATGTGACATGTTCGAAAACCTAATTCTTTTTGCCTAAACATGTAGCAGCAGTATTTATAGCTTAATTGTGATAAATTATTAATCTGAATATTACGCTTCTTTGAATAGCAATTGTGTCTCGTCAATTTGTGGAGATGACTCGAGCTAGGATTGAGGGTCTACTGGCTGCCTTTCCTAAGCTATTAACTGGCAGTCGGCAGCACACATTTGTTGAGACAGAAAGTGTACGTTATGTTTATCAGCCTATGGAGAAGCTCTATACCTTGTTGATTACTACCAAAGCTAGTAACATTTTGGAAGATTTAGAAACTTTAAGACTCTTCACTAGAGTGGTAAATAAAAGCTTTTATGTTTAATTTTAATACAACTTTATTTCTTAAATACTATTTTGCTAATTAAATATGCTTTGATGGTTTTTATTATTAGTTTAAAGTAGGATTGCGCAACCTTTTACAGAAAAATGTTTTTAGTTGTCAGGTGGCAATAAATTATCAATTTACTTTTTTTTCCCCTCCATGTTTAATTTCAATATATTATGATTAGTCAATAATGTTCAATTTTGAAATTCAATGTATGTTAAATTTTAAAAATTCTATTTCCTATTATAAAATTTAGTTAAAGTGTATATGCTCTTGTTTTTTACAATTATAATATATGCTTTTTATTTATATTTTTCATGTTATAGCACCTCAAAATATTTAACAAATGTAGCAATGTATTTTATTGCCATAAAAGCTTATTTGCCTGAAACGAATTTTAAATGTGAAATAGCATATCAGAATTTATAATTAGTGTATTTTGGAAATTAACTCAAGCTTTTTTTAATTTTAATTATATTGTATATATATACAGTAAAGAACCCGTTATCCGGAAATCAGAAAACCGGAAAACCAAAAAACCGGAACGAAATTCGATAAATTTTCTCACCATTTTTTTAAAAAAAAGTTTTTTCCTCATAAGATTTACGATTTTTCTCTCTTTTTTTAAAGATTTTTACCTTACCATCATTTTGGAAATAATCATTAGTGTATTACTTCATCGTTTTTTCTTATTTTTAAGATTATTTCCAATTTTTTTTTTTTTAGTAGGGTTTAACAATAAAAAAAACGGCTTTTTGTAGCGATTCAGAAAACCGGAAAAATCAGTTATCCGGAATAGCGATGGTCCCGACCGTTCCGGATAATCGGTTCCCTACTGTAGTATAAAATAAGAGGAAAAAAAGTTATGAAAAAAAATTAAACTTAGCCATTGTTTTGAAATTCTCCTATAAGAGATAGTATGGCAAGGCAAATCATGATCATTACTTTTCTGTTTTGCAATAACAGGGAAATGCGACACAAATTTTTATGATTTGAATTGTAATTCTGTTTTTATACAGTATTCATAAAAATCAAGTTTATGATCCATTAATAAATATTAATTGTCTTGTATTTCCTTATTACTTTAGTTCTCTTATGTTACTTCCCATAAGAGAATTTTGATTGATGTGCTTTTGGTTTGAATCGTCAATAATATTTTACAATATAAAGTAACTAGCTTTATACCCAACCCAGTCTTGAAACTGCTACACATTGTAACCAAAACTAACTATTCAACTATTTTTCAAAAAGCTCATATATCAAATATAATAAAAATGTAAAGCATTTTTGCAACTGTTTGTTGTGGGTCAGGGGGTCACAATTTTGGACAGTTTGCTGTGAGCACTGGCTATTTTTATTTTGCAGGACCAGCCTGTGCCTATCAATCTGTAACTGGGTTTGCATCAAGCTGCCACCGTGGATTGAACCTCAATATTTCACAATGAGTTCCCAACTGTTGAGCCATCGTGGTTCTGTATTAATTTTAAGTATATTTAAGAAAAGGGGGAAAATCTGAAATAAAACCATTGCGATCGGGAAATAACCATAGTGTGAGTAAAAACCATTCAGAATTTTTGGTTTTAGAGAAGGTTTGTGTGGGTATGCCTGTAATTGCTTTGTAAATTTTTAATTTCAGATTACAATTTTAAAAGGAAATACTTAGAAAATATGTTTGGTATAATATTGTTTATGTTTGTTTTTTAACATCACAAAAAAAAGCAATCTTAGTGAAATATTGTTAGGATTTTGTGATTAAATAAAGGAATTGATGAAAAAAAGTTTACTTCAAGATCTGAATGTTTTAGATTCCTGAATACTGCAAATTTATGGATGAAACGGATGTGGTGAATAATGCATATAATTTGATATTTGCTTTTGATGAAATTGTTGCTCTTGGATATAGGGAAAATGTGAACTTAGCTCAGATAAGAACCTTTGTGGAAATGGATTCACACGAAGAAAAAGTTTTCCAAGCAGTGCGCCAAGTATGTAGTTTACGAATTTACTTATTTACAAGATATCGATTTCATTTCTTCATTTAAATAAAGGTTAATATTAAGGTTAACTTATTGATAATAGGGATCATGTGCTAGAGACTGCTTTTCCAAGTCATCGCCGACTCAAATTTCGATTACTGTAATCAATAGTTTCGAATTTTAAGATTGAGATGTGTTGTAAAAAAGTATTGATATTTAACAATATTGTTATATATTTTTTTTAATTTGACTTATTTATATTTTTTTTATTGTTTAGTATAATTGATACCTAAACAAAGTTTATCAACACCCATAATAACATTCACTATTTATCATTATGTATATTTTGTGATATTATCCTTTTGGTTTGTTAATGTTATTGAGAACGCCTAGGCCCGATTCATGTTAACAGTCAACATTCTATAGTTGGCTTATAGATCAACAGAACATAAATGATCAGATTTAGCTCAACATCTATCATCATTAAAATTCCTTAGTCAATTTATAACTGTCTGAATAAACTTTTTATTAAAGCATAAAACTTTAGTGATTTTAATCCCTTTTCTCCAAACAGGCTCTGTTCAAACTTTGATCCCTTTTTATTCAAATAAGTGAACTTGTTATTGGAAATCTAAATTAAAATAAGTTAGCATAAATATAGATTAAGGTTTTATAGAATTGTAAAGGTAATTCAATTAATGACATCTTAGTATCCTTATATTTGTGATTTTGAAATTTAGTTGAAAGTAAAAAAAAAAGAAACAAAATACTTTTATTTTTAAGCAAAGAAACTATAAATTTTTTTTTTAGTTTTACGTTTGAATAAGCAAATCAAAAATAAAAATGTATATTATATATTAGCCTGATTATCTGCACAATTTTCCACTTCATTAAAAACTCTTATTAATGACCTTATTACTAGACCATATTTTTGGAAAGCATTAATTTTGTCGATTTTTACTGCCAATTTAATGTTGCCTTTTTTTAATCTGAATATTTATTTCTTTATTGTTACTCCTGTGGAATTACAAAATATCTGCTTAACTATTTGTTTTTCTGATGAAGTTGCACCAATGTTACATTGAAACACTTGTAGGTTTTACTAAAGATTCCATCTGTGATTTTTTAAAATTTTTTTTTCTTTCTATCAAATTCAATTTTATCACAAAGGCTTACTTTGGTTATTTTAAAACTCGAAGACAGTTTTTTTTATTTTATCTGTTTCTTAATCCTTTACACATTTAAATTAAAATTGAACATCACGTTCTAGAAGAAATAAAATTTCTTTTGGGATGCATTTTTAAAAAATCTGTTCAGTAATAATTTTTCTATATAGGTCAGTCTTTTAGTTTTATTCTTTTCTATGTTACTATCATTAAAAAAAAATCTGCTTTATTTAAGCTTTTGTTTAAATAAATAGAAATAAAAGATTTACTAAATTGCTAAAATTATTCTGTATCACATTAAATGTAATGGTATTTATTAAGCACTCTGTATTAGAACAAGAGAACCTATAACTGTGAATATTAATTGCATTTACGAGTTATTGTAAATTAAGATTAACGTTTTATTGAACAACCTCTGACTAACCTTACAACTGTCTTGAAACTAAAGTATTTTTTCTAGTCCTGTTCAATCTAAATGATGTTAAATGTGTTATTTCATAGTTATCATCATTTCGATTAAATAGGTAATGAAGATTAAATAGGATTGATTTTATATGTGATTTCATTTGTTTGAACCTGAAAGTTGTTTGTTGTAGTATTCAATTTATATATCTTTCAAGTGTAAATTATCATGAAACATGATGTTCAAGAGATAATAAGTTTCTTTTAGGACTTATTTTAATGTTTATTTTTCTTTATTATAATGAAACCTATTTACTTTTTATTCTTATTTTATTCATTAAATTAGGGGTGCACAACCTTTTTCAGTGAAGGGCCACATGCACAGCAGATTGACCAATGAAGGGCCGCATGCCAAAGTGTTTAGACCGACATATTGAAAGCAATTGTTGGTGGTGATTGTTATATAAACATTATTGTTTATATAACACTAAATTCTTTTTGTCGGTTAACCTTGTAATCTCTTTGCAGAATATACAATACTTTAAAACGTTTAAAATTAGAAAATGCAAAACTGATTACTTAAGAAGGAAAACAGAATTTTAAAATCAGAATCAATTTATCAGAAAAAATTTAGATAAATTGAAATAATTAAAAAACTATGGAAAAATTGAACTTTTTTTTATCACATTACAAAATACAAAAGTCCATTTAAACATAAATTTTAACGTTAAATTTTTTTTTATAGAATTAAATTTCAAATAAATAAATATTCTAGTTATTAATATAAATTCAAGTTAAATACTTTGATTTAAAGAAAGTTTATAGGGTTAAAAATGATTAAAACTAAAACAAAACCCCTTAAGTGGAAAATAAGATTTAGCATTTATTAGGGAATGTACTTTAACTTTCAGACATTTTTATTTTAAATTAATAATAAGAGGCTGAGAGAGGGAAGAAAAAGAAAGAAAGAAAACACATTAAATTTTAAGGAACTATATTCCTTAATAATAAAAAACTATTAAGATACTTGTTTACAACTTTTTATGACGAATATATTTTTAACATGACACTTACTATTTACAATTAATACACAATCAATTAACAATCAATAAAATTTACATTACTTTACGAAACTTATCTTGATTAAATTTTTTATACAGTTAAAATTTAATGATATACAAATCATTTCCCAGCATATAATCATAAATGATATAAAATGCTCCAAGAAGGTAGAAAATGGTTTAAAAAATTTCTTAATGGTTATACTGTAATTTGCAAAATTTTTGAATATTGTGATAATTTTATCTACTTGATCATGTGATATTTTTTGAGCCATTAAATGAAAATGTAATGATTGTATTTAAAGACTACTCTGTAATTTTGAACAGGCCAAATTCATTCTGGAAAACAGTCTTTCGACAGAAGCTGTTGTTGTGGGTAGTATTAAACTTAGAGCAAATAACATAATCAGTTTTGGAATTTGTCCTAGATGGTGTTCTTCCTTTCTGGGTTTTTAAATCGCGGAAATACAAATAGCGATGTGTTATTTTTTAATTGCTTGAATACGAATTGCTATGTGTTATTTTTTAATTGCTTGAATACGAATTGCCATGTGTGATTTTTAAATTGCGTAAATAAAAAACTCGATGCTTGTTTTTCAAATCGCGTGAATACGAATCGTGTGGCTTTTAAATTGCGAAAGGACTACTCACAACACTTGATTTTTAAAATGCATGAATATGAATCGCGATATATGGTTTTTAAAACGCGTGCATATGAATTGCGAGAAAAGTAGCAACGGATGATATTTTAAACGCCAGAACACGAATCGCGATATGTGATTTTAAATCCCGTAAATACGAAACGCGATGGATTATTTTTAAATCTCGTTAATGTTAATACGAAATGCGATGCGCAATTTTCAGATAGCGTAAATACAAATTACGATGTATGACTTTTAAATTACATGTGACAACAAAAAGAATAGGTTCGATGTGTGTTGTTAAACTTGCACGTGTTCATGGGACTAAAGAATTATGCCGTTTTTTGAATTATTTTTTTTGCAAAACGGACCGCGTTTAATATAAACACATCTCGTTTTTTTTTCCTGGGAAGGTGTTGATTTGGCTAAGATACGTAATTACTTTTTAAGTTACGAAAAAAAATTAAAACTGAATCGAATTTCACGAGTTGTAATATTGTGTGAAAATATCAGGTATATTCTAAATCACAAATAAAAATGCAGCAATAACGGGAAAGAAGAAAAAACACGTTCGAAAAACCTCTTAAAAAATGCGTGTTAAAATCGGTACAACGCAAATGATAAAATCGGCACAAACAGAGCACGTAAAAAATAATTATTTTAATGCGCGATTCAAAACTCGCTTGCTGTCAAACCATAGTATTAAAAATATCATAATCTTTTTAAATCACGGGGAAAACGTAATAACTACTAAAACAATAGCCAAAATACTTTTATATTTCAGATGAAATTGGAGTAAATAAAGTCCATCAAAATTTTATGTAATTTAAATGCGGGATTTGAAATTAAAATGTCGCAATAGCGTATAAAAAATATCGGTACTTTCAAAACCTTGTAGAAATGTGTAGCAATAATTTCTAAAATAACGATTGAAAAATAATTTGATTTGCGATAAAATCGTTACAAATAAGCCATGTCAAAAAATGGTTATCTAAATGAGCGATTCTTTACTCGCGATTCGTAATAATATCGTGCTAAAATATCGAAGTTTTAAAAACCGGGCGGAAATGTGCAGCAATAACTGTTGAAGAAAGGATCTAAAGTCATTTAGATTTTCCATGAGGTTTGCACAAATAAAGCGTTTCATAACTTTCAAAAATCGCTATTTCAGAAACTACTTGAAAATGGGTAGCAATAACTACCGAAAAGTCATTGGAATCGGCACATACGAAAAGCGTCAAAAGTGGTAATTAAAATTCGTAAATCGTAATAATGATGTATTAAAAATATTGGGATTTTTAAAACTATGCTGAAATCCGTAGCGTTAACCATCGAAAAACTACATTGATTGAGATTGGGTGCGTCAAAAACTTAAAAGTGTAAATTTAAATTACCGAATTTTTTTTATTATTCTTCAAAAACAAATATTTAATTTTTTTTTTCATTTTGTTCAGATTGCGGCCGCGGGCCGCACATCGAGGGTTGGCGGGCCGCATTTGGCCCGCGGGCCGCAGGTTGAGCACCCCTACATGAAATTTTGATATTTACAGACTCAAGAGAAGGAGGCTAAGCAGAAGATGAAAGAAAAGGCTCGTGAATTGCAAAAGGCAAAACAGGAAGCCATGAAAAAGGGACGCAACCCATCGTATTCATCCAGTAGTATGAATTATCCACCATCACCTGTTGTAGGAGACGCAGCTCCTATTTCTCCTGAAGCACCTACTAAACAGCCATATGTAACTCCAAGGTACAATTTTCTCATCTTTGCTTATCTCCATAGTTACAAACAAGGATATTTTTTTGATGTAAAGTCTACATTGTTTGCAATGTAGATTTTATATAAAAAAATTATAAAAAATAAAACTAAATAAAGTCTACATTGTTTTGTATGTCCTCTACAGAAGAACGAAATTGTGATGGCATGTCTTTGGATCATCCTCAGGGATGTTTTCCAGACTGTCACCAATAGTTCATAGTGCTGCTCTAGTGTGACGTAAATAAAGTACCTACCTACATTGTTTTGATTGTTACTTTACTTATTTCTTAGAAACTAAATCATTAGTGAACCATTTCAATGACAGTGCACTGATTTTTTCCAATGATAAACTACTAATTTTCCATAAAAATATGAACTGTAAATAGAATAACTTTAAATAACTATTCTATATAAAAAAAAATCTTGTTATGAATGAGATTATTAGGATCTGTAGGTATTTAAGAAGTTTAAAATTAATTGTTAGTTAATATTAGATGTCAATTAATATATTCATAATTTATCTTATCATTTCCTTTGTTTATATATTTTGTTTATTTGTATTGACAAATTTATAAAATATTCTAATGTAATATGAAATATTACTTCATTATATTTCTACCAAAAATGTACATACACAGGGTTGCAATTTATAGCCTGGGAAATATTTGCGTAATTAAGGACTTAATTTGTTCTCCTTAGCATCTTTCTGAAATATTTCAGAGTGACCACAGTATAAGATAATTAAGAAAATTAGGGAATTTTGTCAATCTGGAAATGTCAGGGTATATAATAAAAATACCTAAAAAATCAGGAGAAATAAGTTCATTTGTGTTTAAAGTACCTGGAAGTTCAATTTTTTTAAAAGTTAATCTTGTTCTAATTTGCTTAGCAAAAATAATTGGTTATTTTCAAACTTAATATCAGGTTATACATGTTTTATATTTTATATATAAAATATATTACAAAATCCTTTTTACTTGTTCATTTATGCCTCATTAAGAATTCTAAAACTTAACTGAAAATTAATAATTAAGTTTATGCCACTGGTTATAAAAATCAGGGAAATTCGATAAATTAAATTTTTTTTCTCTTCATGTTAGTGGCTATCCTGTATTTATATTTGTGTATAGTCAAATTAGAAAAAATGAATTTACATTGAAAGTTTCATTAAAATTACATTGACATGTCAAAACGGAACTCCAATGTTTTCATTCCTTAAATATGCTGTTTATTAATTCTGTGCTATTTATTAGGTGTGAAATCATGCATTTTCTCTTAATAAACATGTTGGTTTCCCCCATTGGTTTGGATTTTCAATCCTTAAGATTTGATGAGTAGCTGTAATCTGTAAAATATGGTCATAATAATTAGGACAATAATTAAACACTGTTGTGTCCTTCGTGTAATTTTTGTTTTGTGCTTATTTCCCAAGATTTATGAAAAAAATTGTAAATCAAAATTATTCTGCCTAGATAATTATGAAATGTAATAATTTTAAACTGTTTCCTACAAAAACAAAATAATATTAATTGTTTATTTTTTATGATTGGATTTTTTAAAATTATATACAGTAGAACCTCGATCATCCGAGCTTCGATTAACCGAGGTTTCTGTTAACCGAGGCAATAACGAAGCCTAAGTTTTTTTTCTTCTTTTTTTTTTTAAACGATGCTACACCGATGGATCTCCTGTTGCTCAAAAATTGGCGCTATAGGGCAGCCCATGATAAAAATTCTGGACTTTTTCGACGAAAGGTAACAGACTTTTTTAAAAGAATGTGAATTTAACAAATTAATGTATATTAAATTTTAAAAATACAAAATTTTCTTGAGATTTGTGCTATTTTTGAGAATGCGTCTTTTGATATTTAACTACGTATAGTTAAAAAAAATTCCATTTTACTTTTTTAAATTTACTACTAAAGTTGATTTCCTTTTTAAATCTTTTTAGCTGTGAAACATAAGTCATATATGCTTAATTCATCATTTAAAAAACGTTCTATTGTTTTTTACTTTAAAAGTAGTTAAATTCGCAAGCACGGAAGGTTTTTATGCATGGTTTCTATTAACCGAGATTTTCGATATCCGAGGTACTAGCGGTCCCAATTAGCTCGGATAATCGAGGTCTTACTGTAACATAAAATTTCAAGTCATTATAAGTTTAGAAACCTTAAGTTATAATTCATAATTTTCTTTATCAAAGTTCATAAGTTAACTTCAAAGAAATAACAATTTAAAATATTTTTTAATTGAAAATTGTGAGTTTTTTTCTTTAAAGCAGTAAATAACCAGCCTTACCAGAGAGCCAGTATGCAATTGAAAACTAATTAGAAGATTAACATCCAGTGTTTAATTTTTTTCTTTGCTTTTATTTTAACTTAGGCAAAGATGAGGAGAAAAAATTAATACTGATTGACTAATAGATATTTGTTTTTTTAATACTGTAGATGATACTATATTATGAAGCCAGAATTGTGTGCTTTATATAAATTTGTCTTTCAGTAGTATACTTAAAATAATATTAATTTGCAGTACTCGTCCAACTGCTACTGGTAAAGCTATGAAACTCGGAAACAAAAATAAGGATATTGATTTATTTGTTGATATGTTGAAATCTGAAGGTGAAAGTAAGTATCTTTTTATAAATAATGATTTATTGTGACAGTATTTCTGCCTAATATTCATCTTTAAATTTTGTAATTTGCTTTTTTTCTTTAAAAATATAATTACTTCAATGCTTTAAAGAGAAAATTGTAAAAAACTTTATCTTGTTAATATTTTCTGTGAATTTTTATAAAATTTAAAATAACCATCTCTGTGGTTTATTAATTTGATTTTTAAAGCACTTTTATGGCTAAGTTTGTAATTTTAAATTACTGTAATGCTTGTAATTAACGTTCTATATTTTAGTCTTGTAATTAGATCATCATTAATTTTTTGCTGAAATTTCTTAAAAGAAAAAATGTATTTTTCAACTTGAACTTAAATTTTACTATTCATGGTCTAACTATTGTAGTGCTATTAAAATGGATTTTTAATTTTTAACCAGCTTTACATTTTTAAAATTGTTTTATTGATATTTTTAACCTGTTTACCTTACAAATGATTTTGTAAATAATCAGTACATTCTTGTTATCTTTGCAACAGGAACTAAGTATTTTGTTTCTATTTTTATTTATTTATTTTTCTTTCGTTTTATATATTAATTTATTCCAATTCACATTTGTTTATTTTATTTCCAGGTCTAGTTGATCCTTCTAGTGCTAAGTCACCAGTTGGGGCAAAGTCTCCTACTCAAGTTCACACTGAAAGGTTAATGTTTGCCCTTTTGCCATATATTTAATGTTATCAATTCATTATACATTCTGTAGCTAAAAGTATCTTATATTAAAAAGATATAGAAAAACATGTACTGTAAAACTCTAACAATGAAAATTAGTATGGACCAAATCCGAACTTGTTAATCAGTCATATTGGAATAATGTTAGCCATGATGCAATATATCTCATCTTTATCCATTTTAACTCATATAGCAGTAAGTAAATTAAAAATTGGTGAAGGTGAATTTGACAATGTAGTTGAATTCACGTATCTCAGTTCTGTCTTTGACCAACAAACATTCAATGCAATATAAAAAGATCTATAAAAAATAGTCAAAGTTATTTTATTATATGGTTTTCTAACATAGTGTCTTAGTCAGACTTGCAAAGTCTTGAGATATGTTAAATTAATTGTCTCAGAAATTTTTTTAAAATCATTTAGTCTGTAAAAATTAAAACCAAAACAATATTAGATAAAGCAAACCTAAGTACATTAGAAGATGAAATCAATAAGATTAGGGGGAAGTGAATGGAGTTTGCACTAAAACATGCAAATGTTGCTCTATCTTGGGCCCCTAATGGCTGGAAAAAAAGGGAAGACCAAGACTTGTCAGATACAAATGTAGGTGGATTTTAAAAGAACAAAATTAAAGATCGCCAGATCTCAAGCTAAAGACTGGGGGGGNGGGGGGGGGGGGGTTGCAGGGAGAATTAGGTTTTATGTGCCAAAGAGCAATATACAATAAAAACCTAGCTATCCAGATTAAGAACTTGTCCTGATCTGCATAATTGTTTAGATTGGAATAGATTTACAATATATATTATTGTCTTGATTAATTTTAATTTCTGCCGCATAGTGTAAAATTATTATTATTTTGATTTGAAAAGTAAGAAATGAAATTTTTATAATTAGCATTAATCATGACTAGATCCAGTTTGGATGAGTTAGTTGCATGTTGGATGAATAAAATGTTTCTTGGAAATAATTTTTTTCCACTAAGTATTAATTTCATGGCTACCAAATAACTTAACATTTATACAATGTTTTTTTAGTGTTTATATTTTTTTATTGCACTTTTAAGAGTGTACTTTCCTTGAATCAAGTTTATTGTTTATCTGTTTATCCTTCTTGTCTTAGACACGAAATTTAATTTCAGTGTTCATTTACGTTGTGAGGAAAAGATAACTCTTGTTGGTAAAAGAGATGGCGGCCTTGACAATTTAGAAGTCCATGGTATTGTTATCCTTAATATTAGTGATGAAAAGGTTGGGCTGATTCGTGTCAAAATAGATAACCAGGATGATAAAGGTGCTCAGAGTCAGGTAAGTTTATATTAATGTTGATTCATTTGTTCCTTATCCACATGCTTATAAATTTTTTGTGAGTGGATTTATTTGCAGTTATTTCAACTAATTTTATATTAAAGGCTGCTTCAGAATTTTTAAAAGAAAAAAAAAAATCACTGCTTAAACTAGTTTAAGTTAAACCTTTTTTAAATCTAGCATGAACATTATTGAATTATGTGCTTTATTTAAATTTAAACATTTTTTTTTTTCAAAATGATTTTCAAAGTAATTAAGATCTATTATAAAAATATTATTTAAATCTCATTTAATAATGACATAAACCTTAATTAAATGCTTTCTCAAATTATAATGTCAAATCTCAAATTATGTCTTTTTTTTGTGATTTCTGAAGTATGGAAAAATGTAGCTGTTATAAAAGTATATCATAAAATTCTTATTGCATCTTTTGAAATGTGTAAAAATGTTACTAATAAATAGGCATTTTTACCTTTTATTTTATTCTTTTTTCACCTTAAAATTTCACTTTACCATTTTTTGAAAATTATTTTTCTTCTTTGAGATTATAGGATTCATTATTTAATTATTATTAAAAATGTTTTTGATAAGCATTTTAAATTTTATTTTCCATGTTTACATAAACAGCACATTTTCTTTAAACTCGTTTATTAGCGCATTTGTTTATAAGTATCAGACAGAGGCCTACAAAAGGGCAAAATTTCTTACTGTCATGAGCATTTTTTTAAGAGCTAATATGTCTTAGAATAAAAAGTAACAGCTTTTTATGTTAAAGTTTACTAAAATATTGAGCATCAGGTATGATATTTTTGGACGTCTGTGATTAATTGACCCCGTTGTACATTTTCCTGTTGTCTGCAATAGACAATTAATTGATATAACATTCTTTCTTTCTAAAATCAGTGTATATAGAATGATTTTTCCTGCTGTGGAGTTTTTTTGTTTTATAAGGTTTCTCCTGCCCCCTCTTTTCAAGTTTATTAAAAATTCAGTTATAATTGTTTAGTTATAAACAATTTACTATTGGTCATCAGTAGTTAACAAATTCTAGGTGAGCTTTGAATATATTAACTTTGTATATAAAAACATGATTTTTATATTAAAAGAAAATAAATTATTAAAAATAATAATATGCAAAAATGATACCAAGAAACTTATTTAAAAGGTTCTAACATTAAAATATTTCAATGCACATTGAAAATAAACAGATTTATTGCAAGGTAAATTCTGCTTAGATCAATTTTCTTTTGAATTAAATGAATTTTTAATTTTAGTAAAATGATGTTTAATTTGAACTCTTTGATTTTTAAGGAAATGAATTTTTTCATTTTTTTAAAAATGTATCATTCAAACTGTATGGTAAGTAAATAAATAGTTTCTAATTGTATGGAAATGTTTAGATAATTCAATTAAATTTTTTTTTATTTTATGGAATACAAAAAAATGCATAGTAGCTAGAGAAGTAATTATATTGATATTGGACTTATATGGTTCTTTGTATAGGTAGAATATTTTTTTTTTGTATTTTCCTTAAACTTCTACTTTTTTTTTTTTTTTTGTATCTGACTTAAACTTCATCTGCTAACGATTTATCTTTTAACATGTTTGTCATTAAAATCTATCATTTTAATATTCCTTATTTTGATAAATAGTTGTTTGTTTTATGTTTATGTTAATAGCGTTTGGTTTTTTGTTTAAGTCATTATATATATATTTTTTCGTTTATTTTAGACTCATCCTAACATTGATAAGGAATTATTTAAGAGCTCGCAAGTCATTGGAATGAAAAATTCTGCTAAACCATTCCCGGTCAATGTGGATGTTGGAGTTTTGAAATGGCGTTTTCAAACACAGGATGAGAGCCACATCCCTCTATTTAGTAAGTTTTTATTATTATTATTATTGTTTAATGATAAACCAGAGCTTTGAAAGTAGTTTTTGTAACTGCTCTGTTACTGGAAATCATAAGATTACTTTGTACCTAAACCTTTCTAATGTACACAAAAAAAATTCTGTTCTGTACTTAGGTTAAACCAATGTGCAATATGAGGTTTGTTGTATGTATACAGGGCCCTCTCTAACCATTCGCCACCTCGCCAAATGCGATAAAATTGTACATTTGGCGAATGAAATTGTGTTTTGGAGAAAGTATTGGCGAATGATTTTTCTCTGCAACGAAAAATATATATTTAACTCGATCCTCGAAATTTCATCAAAATAAATTTTTATAAACAAAACAGTATTCTTTATTTAATTAGGCAATTTTCTTCAGATGCGCCGCATAACCAATTAGAATTGGGTCCAAATAATATAAGCCTGAAACAAACAATGATAAAATAGTTTTGTATAGAAAAAAACTAATCATTAAAAATTGTTAAGGTTTGCATTTGGCTAAGATTTTCAAAAATTTGAGAATGTTTCTGATATTTGGCTAATTTACTGGCTGATAATTTGAAATTCTTAGTATGTGCCTTGTGAATATGTAAACAGAATATGGTGTAAATATTTAAAACATGTGAAATAAAAAAAGAAAAGGTTATTTAATGATTTGAAAAAAGAAAGAAGATCTAGCATTCTTTATTTAAAATTAAATAATATAGCTTCTGCCTCTAAAAATCTGATTGTTAATTGTTGAATATGATGCTTTATTTATTCTTTAAATGATGTATCTCTTGCTTAAAAATATGGTTTGTTTTTCAAATACAGAGTGTCTAAGGAAGATATTTATTAGTCTAAATATTAACAGGAAATTTAAAAAAATTGAAATAAAATGCAATTTCGGTTCAGTCCTCTAAAAATTAAATCAGTGTTACTCTTTAGATTTCAACATACACTGCAAACTAAAAATGGGATTAGTTTTAAATGTCTTTACTTTTACATTTATGTCTAAATAATTAATATCATGTGATAGAAATACTCTTCCATTTTATTAAAATGTAGATGAAAGATAAATTTAACATTTGTGATTTTTGAAAACGTTAAGAGTGTTGTAATAACGTCCTTCACAAAACTGTAAAAGTTAGGAGCCTATTTTATGTATGTTTAAATTACATAATTAAAAGAATAAGGAAATCAAGTGATTTTTTATTAATTTTTTGTGCTGTATCTCATTGGATTTGTTTTGTATATAAGTTGCTTGATAAAATGTTCCTGAAAAAATAATCATAGAAGAATAACACTTGAACCCCTGTGATCACCCAAAAGAGCTGAATTTTTTTTATACACAATATTATTTGGTGAAAACAGTGTTTATCAAATACACATTTTAGTATGCATCTATTTATTTAAGGAAAGCATACAGTTAATTATCCGCTACATTTAAAGTTTAAAAAAAAACAGTTGGATTTCTTCATTCCTTTCCCTAGAAATGCTTGTAAAGAAAGCATAACATTTAAGTGGGGGAAATCACAGTCTTTATAATTATTAATATGTTTTAAAGTAGTTTTTAATATTTGATCAAGTTGATGGGACCTACGAAAATAAATTATAAAATCTGCATTGCTACATATTTATCAACTTATCTAATGATATTGATTAGTTCACTTGAAATATATATATATTTTTTTTGAATTGTTCTTTGCTTGAAATAAATTAATTATAAAATTACATAGTTTTTTTTCATATCTGAAATAAGCATATTGTTTCAAAACCGGTTTATCTTTTTTTAGATGTTATATTTTAAGTGATTACAATAAAAAATATCTTCCCATTTTTCTAAATTGACAATCAAAATCAGTTTAACTTTTTTTTAAAACCAAAAAGGTTTATAATTACCGAAAGAATTTTTTTTTTTTAGAATAATTCCAGATATATAATGGTTTTTAAATTTAACCAGTAAATGGTTAAACAATTTATTTTGAAAAACTGGTTTTAACTCTTTGCACAGCTTGTTTTATAAATTATGTGGAAATATAACTAAACAATATTAAATATAACTTATATTTATGTCTAGATTTATTTAAGAAAAGCTCCAAGTTCTTTTTTTGAAGCCAGTTTTACTAAGTTGTATGGCAAAGTTTTTTCTTGGGAATGTACTGAAAAATAAGTTGATTTTGATAAGTTATTGAGTTGATAATTTAATTTTATTATAAATATTATTTTATTTGTTTTAATTGAAAACCAAAACTACTCAAAATTGGTATTTTTGATTGTTATTATTGAAGTTATACTTTTATATAAAACTGAAAGAAAACTAATTTCATTTTTCCATTTTAGTTAATTGCTGGCCTTCTGAGAATGGCAATGGTGGATGTGATGTAAATATTGAGTATGAATTGCAGAATGAAGCATTAGAGTTAAATGATGTTGAAATTCAAATTCCTGTGCCGTAAGGACAATTTACATCATACTCTAAGGACAATACAATATTTTAAAACTCTTCAATCTATTTAGAATTCATATTAAATAAGAGTTCAATTTCAAAACATTATATGATTTATTATTATTTTAAATTAAAGATTTTGTCCTAAAATGACACAATATATTTTCTGTAATTTTTTTATTATCTCCCACCATGCAATGGAAAACTTCTTCTTTCATTTGATGTTTTCCAAACATTTATTTTTATTTGATTATTTATTTTAACTTGAAATCAGCCTAAATTGTTTTTTTAGAGATACATTTTTTTTTATTGTCAAGTTAAAAAGAAAAATTCAATAATTTTCAAAATTATTTTTATTCAAAATTGAGTAATCCAGTGTCAGTTATTATTATAATTTAAGATGCTTATACATGTTATTTTGGACTTTTGTTTGGTGTAAGACTACTAAAACTTAACTTGCAAAAATAGTTTTTTTTCCTCTCTCAAAAATTTTTCCAATTTTTTAGGAGCACGCCAGTTGTGACTGAATGTGAAGGAATGTATGAGCATGAGAGTCGAAAAAATAGGCTTGTTTGGAAACTCCCAGTTATTGATTCTAACAACAAATCAGGTTCTATGGAATTCACATGTAGCGGAAAACCTTCAGATTTTTTCCCTGTAACAGTAGAGTTTGACTCTTTTTCATCCTTTTGTAATATCAAGGTAATATTTTTATTAATATAATCTACCCGAAAGGTTAAATAACTACTCTTTAAAACAATAATATTCATTCTTCTTACAAATATGGTTTAGTAAAATTCTTGATGATTTTATTACAATATAAATTTTCATATTTATCTTTTTCATCACTTTTGCAATAATAAAGTTAGGTTCTTACTGAAGTCAACTCTAAAATAAATTAAGTCACATAAGAATAATTGTATTCTACCTCTGAATCCTTAGTTAGATTATCACTTTTTAGAATAATTTTATTGTAACAAAAATAGATTTTTAAAATTTTTTTTTGTACATTAAGGTAATATTCTTATTATAATAATTTTTAAAAAACATTGATGGCACACAAAGATATCAGTATCTATTTGCAAAGATATCAGTATCTATTGCCAAAAACGGGTTTGTGGCAGTGTGGCGTGGGCAATGTTGCTCTCCTCCGTGACTTTGGTTCACAGGTGCCCACTGGGTTGCGCGAAATGAGCAACAATTCTGGCATAGTATAGGCAAAGATTCAAATTCAGCGCCTGCCATTGGGAAAAAAAAAAAAAATTTGCAAAAATGATTTACTTCTAAGTTCCCTAACAGTTTTAACATTTGCCAATGATTGGGAGACCAAATCTATATAGGGACAGGTTCTACTTCATTCGTGGTGCATTTTATTTTCAGAGCGCATTATAAACTAAACACATTCTAATGCATTTCTCTTTAAAAAAACCCTACCCGTGTTTGCAAAAAAAGCCTGGTACTTCTTTGCCAAGCCCTGTTAATTATTGCAATTATATCAGTGCGTACATTATAATAAAATTAATTATTATTGTTTTTTTATTGATGTTTTTAGAAACAGGGATGAGATTAGCCAAAAGGCAAAAAAGCTGAATTTCCACAATAATAAATTTTACGCAAGCGCAGCCCTTTAATAATAAATTCCAGACAGTTTAAGGTAATAAATAATGTGTTGACATACAATTGCATACTAAATCTATTATTATAAAAACGATTACATTGATACTTAACATTTAGTGAAAATAAAAATTATCAATTGAAAAAATAAAGCTGGAAATTATATTTTTCCTCAGTTCACATAAGAGACAATTATTACTTGAAAAACTACCTGGTTTAGCAAATTAAAACTACTGAGAATATACATTAATATTTCATTTCTTTTAATAAATACTGTTATGTGATTTATAGCAAATATATCAGTAATATTACTTTTTAAATTATATTGG